CCCACCACCACAAGGGAAGGTATATAAGGACTGCCCCCACACATCGGAGCTCAGAATCGGAGCTCATAGCCCTGAAGATGCAGACTGCAATGTTTGCGAAACGTCGGCGCAATGCTGAAACTCAACGCGGCATCCATCCGGAAGCCAACCAAGTCATTAATAATGGCCGCGAAAGCCTCAAAACTAATATCCCAATAATTCCTTCATAAAAATAAAATGTACGAAATAACCCAATTCCGTAGAACGCACGAGTGAGTGCCTCCACCAGTGGAAACGGAAACCTAATATTCGGCGACGATACAGGCAACATTCACGTTGTCAAGCGAACATATCAAGTCTCGACATTTAGAGGCTACGAGATAACATTAACCCTCGCTGAACAAGTACAGCACTCCACTTATCTATTCACAATCGGTGAGGACGATCCTGGTTGTAATCCAACAATCAAAGTATGGAACTTTGGAAAATTGGATAAACAGGAGAATCCCACTTGCGTGAGGATTAGCCGGGCTATTCCAAGTTTCAGGCCGGTTCCGGCGACAGCTCTTTGCGTCCACCAGAGCTTGTCTATGATGGCGGTTGGCTTCGCCGATGGTTCCATCATGCTCTACAGGGGCGATCTCACAAGAGAACGAAAGAACAAGATAAAAATACTGAAAGACAGTACAGCCCCAATAACGGGATTGCAAATCCGATCAACGGGTAAACAGAATCACCTCTTTGTCGCGACAACAATGAACGTATATCTCTACAACATAACGGTGAAGGACAAAGAAGTTAAGACGGTCTTAGACAACATGGGGTGCGCTGATAAGTGCAGCGTCCTCGCTGAAACCAGTCAAGATAGTCATTTTATGATCGGTAGAAGCGACGCGGTTTACTGCTACACCCTAGACGGGCGTGGTCCATGCTACGCGATAGAGGGCCAGAAAACGATGCTCGACTGGTTCCGCGGTTACCTCGTAATAATCGCGAAGGAGTCCGGTAACGTGCCGCGATCGACAACAGTCTCGTCCAAGCCATCCGCGATCGAGCCGATCCCTCCGGGCGCCGACAAGCACATGATAACAGTCCTCGACATTCAAAACAAGTTCATAGTCTTCTCCGCGTCGATGCTCTCGATCCAGGCGATCCTCTCCGAGTGGGGTGGCTTCTTCATCCTCTCGGGTGACTCGAAGCTCTACCACCTCGACGAGAAAGACCTCCAGTCGAAGCTAGCTCTCCTCTTCAAGAAAAACTTGTACGACGTTTCGATCAGAATCGCGAAGAGTCAGCAGTACGACACCGAAGGGCTTGTCGATATTTTCCGCCAGTACGGTGACCACTTGTACTCGAAAGGTGACCACAATGGCGCGATAGAGCAGTACATTCGGACGATAGGAAAGCTAGAGCCGTCCTATGTCATCAGAAAGTTCCTGGACTCTCAGCACATTGACAACCTGACGACTTACCTTCAAGCCCTTCATAAGGAGTCCCAAGCCACTGAAGACCACACAACCCTCCTCCTAAACTGCTATACGAAACTCAACCACACGGACAAGCTCAAAGAATTCATCATGACGAAGGATCGCGAAGTGGATTTCGACGTGGAGATCGCCATTAAGGTCTGCAGACAAGCGTCACCGGAGGACGCTCTCCTCCTCGCGAAGAAGCACAAGAAGCACGAGTGGTACCTACGGATCCAGATAGAAGACAAGAACGAATACAGATCTGCGCTCGAGTACATGGGGACGCTGGACTTCGAGGAAGCTGACGCCAACATGAAGAAGTATGGAAGCATTCTGATTGCTAATGTTCCCAGTGAGGCTACGCAGTTCTTGAAGAAGCTTTGCACGAACTATCGGGCGGTTGACAGACCTCTGATTGATGAGAACGTCCTAGATGGGACGACCGAGGAGATCGTCGAGCGGTCGAATCCCGAGGACTTCATCCATCTTTTCTTGAACAATTCAGAGAGATTGGTTGAGTTTCTGGAGCACCTGGTGAAGGCGGATACCAAGTGGAGTACGATGGTGTATAATACTCTGGTGGAGCACTATCTGCACGTCTGGGGGGCGCAGTCGAGTGAAGTTATGAAAGTGCAGTACGAGCAGAAGGTGATCAGGTTGCTACAGAGCTCTGAAGCCTGCTTCGATAGGGATCAGATCCTCGTTCTATGTCACCAGCATAATTTCAGGAAGGGAGTGCTGTTTCTTTACGAGGAGAGAAAGCTTTATCAGGAGATTCTGCAGTTTCATCTGAGGGAGAGGGACGACGAGAATGTCCTGGGGACCTGCAAGAGGTTTGGACACCAGGATCCGAATCTGTGGATTCAGGCGTTGTGGTGTGTCGCGAGGGATAAGAATTCTAGTCCGAAGCTGTTGGCGGATATCCTGGGGGTCATCTCCAAGGAGAAGCTTCTACCACCGTTGATGGTCATCGATGCCCTCTCCACTTCGTTGAATTGCAGTCTTGGGGATGTTAGGGAGTACTTGAATACGGTACTGAAGGCGGAGGAGGAGCAGACGAAAGAGGATGCCGAGCTCGTGGAGAAGTACAGGGAGGACACCAAGAGGCTGAGGGAACAGATCGCTGGGATCAAGGGGAGCACCAATATTTTTCAGGGAAACAGGTGTTCGGCTTGTCATCATCAGTTGGAGCTGCCTTCTGTCCATTTCATGTGCCAGCATTCTTATCATCAGCAGTAAGTAGTTTGTGAAATTTTGATCGGGATACGTCTAGGGTTTCGTTTTGGGGGTCATTCGGTAAAAAAATGATTATGCAGCCGCGCCATCTATCGGCGATACTGACTGTCGATACGTTACCAACTGGGGATCGATCGGTAAGATACCGACAGGTTGTTAGTCATAGAAATTTCCAGTGCAAAAATTTCTAGATTCAAAATTCCCTATAAAAGGCGGATCGGCAATCAAAGAATTAACATCGTATGAAGTAAAGAGTGTAAATGTCTGGTGCAGTGGTAAGGTCAGTCTAGATATTGACGTGGATACGGCTTTGGCTTCAATATGGGGGGTCATTTTGAGAAACTGTTCTTATGTGCAGCGCCATCTGTCGGAATTCTAGAAAATTCTAGAAATTTCGAGGAAATTCAGGGAGTTTCTAGAAAATTCGAGAACGAAGGAAAGACCATGGACGCATCCACGTAGAATTACAGCTGCATCGAAAATACAGCTGTCTGCAATTTTTCGAAAATTTTGTGTTGAAAAAAAAATGAGAAAATGCTCAGGTTGTCTAGAAATTTCGGAAGAATTCGGGGCTTCACCAAAGAAATTCGAGAAATTCTTTAAACATGAAATTATTTTACGAGATGACGTCAGCACTTTGTTTACAAATTATTCAGATATCGAATGGAGGATCAGAAATGCAATTTATCTTTCCAGCTGTTTTCAAAGTTTCTCGGAGAACGAGAATGAGTGTCCGGCATGTCTACCCAAGAACAAACAACTGCTTGACCGAATCAGAGCGCAAGAACAGTCTCAGGATCTCCATGAGACATTCCACAGTCTTCTGGACAGAGCTGAGGATCCCTTCTCACTAGTGGCCGACTACTTCGGCCGTGGTGTCTTCAAGAAACTCATGATTATCACAGATGCTGACAAACCCATTGTTCCAACCCCTGCAGCTAATACTCCAGTGGCTCCAAGATCTCAGGAACCAAAGGCTAATTATAACGCTTATGGGCCTGGGGTCGAAGCCAAAATAAGACTGACGGAGGGAAAAAATACGACTTTAGGTGAGAAAATGTTGAATTAAATCCCATTTCTCTCAATTATATTTTCAAGTTTCTATTTAGAATCAACAGTTTAATTTGATTTATTATATTTGTTTAATCGGTGACTAAATTTTAACCGATTATATTTTTAAATGTTCACACGTTTTTAATACGCTAATAATTTAACATTAACAAAATTATTATGAATGATTTTACGTTGATTATTCGGTTTTTAATAATTGATGAAGATTTTAATTGTACAATTATATTGTTTCAATATAATTGTACAATTATATTGATGCATTCGGAGGCAACAAGTGGACAATTGGATTTTTTAATAAACGAGTGTAGTTATTGTTGTTAATAAATTATTGAAATTGGAACACAAATGTTTCTCTAATAAATTGGATATTAAAAATTTATCTTAAAAAAATGGGAATTCTTTTTTTTCAGTTAAAAGTGAAGCGCGTAGAATCGATCCCTTCGCCGAGGATCGACGTTACCCCCCGAAACCAGACGTCTACTCATCGTCGTTAGAAGCAAATGTGTCAGGAAGTGGTAGTGGCCTCTCAACTCCACGTTCAAACTCTAGGAAATCATCGCCAGTGCCAATCCGAGAGGCGAGAATCGTCAACAATCAGAGTCCCAGGGCATCGCCAGCGACTAGAGCCTTCGTACCACCGAAAACTCCTATCGTACCATCGAATCCATTTGGCGAGAGTGATTACGACGAGAAGAAGAATCCATTCGCTGAAGAGGGGGGCAATCCCTTCGACGAAGATGAGGACGACTCTACGGGATCGAAGGAGGATGATTACAACAAGAATTTGAATCCGTTCGCTAGTTAATTGAGTCGTCATTGTCAAACAGAATGGAAATTTTTTAAAAAGAAATTGTGAAATTTCGTGGTTTTTCAATTTTTCAAGGTGGAGTGACCCTTGAACATTCCAGTGATTTACTTGACTCTCCCAATCGTCCCTTTGATCATATCTCTTGAAGGATAACAATATTTTTTATTCTTCGGACTTGTCACGAACAGAATCTTCGAGATGATTATTTATTGATCATGAAATTTTGGTTCCAAATGGATTTTTTTAAATCGATCATCTGTAAATATTTATTATATTGTATGAGTAATTAGGTAGATTTATTATTCAATTCGTATGAAAATGTGTTAAAAAATGTACAGATTAAAAAATATAATAGAACTATAGGAAAGATTAATCATTGGATATTGTCAGGTCAAAAATGTTTTGTCACTCACTTTTGTCAGTCAAAAATTTGGTGCAATTATTGGAGTGAATGGGGAATGCACGTGGAAGATCTTTAGGAAAATTAGTGAATGAATTTAAGTAAAAACTAGGAATTTTCGTCCACTCCCGTTGATTTAGATCGATGGCTCATCCAGAGTCATTTTCCAAGCGTTTATTTTATCACTAATACTGAATCCACTCCAGTTGTCGATGATTTCTGGGGTTCTGGGCCTGATTTTAACAGCCACTGAATACTCCTTTGGATACTGAGGGACGAAAAAATCGGAGAGATTTGGGATGAAGTCTTTGGGTCGAGGCTCTGGATCTCTGCTTCTTGTTAATCTCATGGGCAATTGTTTCTCGTCTATGCTTATGTCCACTAGGTCGTGGTAGACTGATTCGAAGGCGGGAAAGTCCAGGGCCGATGATATCTGTGGAATAATCAATACGAATTGTCAATTTTGGTCGATTCGAATGGACTCTTTTAGTCTCGTGAATTTTTACATGACACAATTAAATCAATAGCGAAGTGGTAAAACGATTTGGCTGCGTTTTCGAGGAATATCTTCGAATTTAAGGGAGATAGAAGAATATTCATAATGACCTTTTTTGTAGATCATAATCCACTCTACGAAAAAGGTTATGATAAAAATTTTGCTAGCACCCTTAGATCCAGAGATATTCACTGAAAATTGATGAATAATCAAAATCGACTTGAAGATTAATCGATTTAGTTATGTAGAAGCAAAATATGCCTTCGAGTTTATATTCAATCGACGAATGATACAATGGAGAATAATAATGAGTAATTGAATTTCACACGAAAACTGAAGACACAAAAAAAAATATTTTTGCGAAATATCCATTTACTTGAGAGAAGTATTTATTTTTTCAATCCAGCTTTTCTCCAGCCGAATCACGTCCAGGCAATTCTCATTACGTTTCAATTATGACAATTACATTGCTCTAGAAGATGATCATGTTAGTTATGACTTCGAGTGAATTCCCTCAATGATTATAAATATTAAAGAATGAATCAAAATTCTTTCTTATAGAAAATAAAAAATTTAGGAAACATTAATAACCATTGGAGGAGTTGATCCAAGGTCATGGCTCACCTAGGAAGTATTCGATTGGAAAAATATGATTTTGAAAAAAATAAATGTTCCTCTCAAGTAAATGAATATTCGGCAAAAATAATTTTTTTTCTCAGAGTATGAATGCGAGAAAATTCTCCATCAATCCCAAAACATCAGTCACAATTGTTCGGCTGAAAAATCGATGAAAATAAATCCACCACTGATACCTTTCCATTCACAAGATCCTTATAAACCCCAGGGAGGCTCTCGAAATTTTCCACAACTTTTTTCTTCCTCACTTTCTCCAATTTTTTGATCGTGCAGACGATGGAATTGTATTCGGGTCGACTCAGCAGATCTCCAGTGGCTCCATCGACCCTCATCTGGCCCTCCTCAGGCCCCTCCCCCCCACTCCCCCGATCGTGCGGCACCCCGGGCCCCACGAAGACCCTGGGAATGGGCCTCGCCACATGCCTCAAAACATTGACTTCATTTCTCTTAGTTTCCGCAACTTTCCTCCCCTTCATGCACGGCATCAGTCCCAAATCCCTTCCTCCAGCAGTTGTGGGGCCCCTCCGAGGGCATCCTCCACCCTTACCCCCTCCAGCACCCGCCGAAGGTCCACTCAACACGCCAGAACGAACGCTCTCCCTCTTCTGAACAATTTTTGATTTTTTAACGACAGCCTTTCCCTCAGCAGAATTCGGCTCTTTTTTATTCAGATTTTCTTTGTTCTCGGTTTTTCCGTCAGGCCCCGGGGGGTTTCCAGGTCTAGTCTGACTAGCTGGAGTATTTTTAGACCTGAGAATCGATTTCGATGGAATTTTTTCGGTGAATTTCACATTTTTCTTCGCATCCGGGGGCTTTTTCGAGTCTTTTGAAGTCGAAGGAATTCTTTGCCTGGGTTTATCTGACGTTTTGAGCTCCTCCAATTTTTTCTGGAGATACTCCAAGTCGTGAGAGGATTTTTTGGGTCTTCTGGAGTCTTCCGAGGATGAGGGGACTGCTGGGGATTTTTTTTTCACCTTGATCGGGGGGACTTGGGGCTGGGGAGGGGGCACTGAGGGTTTCGGGTTTGAAGGGGGTTTTTGGAGGCTTGGAACAACGGTCTCAGGGTCGGGGGTTGGGTTTTCGGCCGGGGGGAGGGGGACTAGTTTCACTGGGTGCTTTAGAGTCACGATTTCCCGGATTCTGGGACCTTGGAAGGGTCCGGGGGAGTTGGAGCCCTCCGGGGAGTGGGTGAACCTCACTTTTGGCCGGGGCAGGGGGTCAACACTGTTCGACATTCTTTCTTGATTTTTTCGCGAAGTTCCAACGCATTTACTGATCACAATCGCAGTGGGGTTATTGCACTTTCGGTGGATTCATTGGAGGTGGGGTAGGGGTGACACGTCGGGGGTTGTCGACACGGGGTTTTGGAGGTTTTGACGATTGTGCGACATTTGCCAGTGGCTTTACCCGCCTTTTTCGAGAGGTTGGACGCAGCGCTGGGAGATGGCGCTGCGAGTATGAACAATAAAAAAATTTGGAGGGCGGGTGGAGGAACATGTGGGCACTCAAAAAATTTGGGATTTTTTTTTTTTCAAAATTCAGCTTCTGAGTTAGAAAGTGGGATTATTAACGGATGTGAATCCACTCATGACTTCTCAATTATCGACATAAGCACAATTCCACAATGCCATTTACACCTGGGAAAATATTATACAATACGAGAAGGAAGAAATTCGTCAAATTCGTTTGTTAAAAATATTTCTGCACCTTTTTATTCAGTTGATTGTCATCTATTCATGTTACATTTTGTTTTTTTGAATGTATAATTTTCATTCAGCTTCGAAGAATGAATTGCAGATTGATTTTCACTTGCCAAAGCCTCCAGGATAGAGACCACTATAACGACCGGGTGAAGGATTTATATACGGCCAATAATTTTTCTTCGTTTCCGGTGGTACTACTGGTTGAATTATGACTGCATTTGCTTCTTTCGTCACTTGAGCTGTTGCTTTCAAAATTGTGTCGCAATACGCTTCTTTCTGAAATTTGCATATTCAAATAAATGAGTTTGAGTAAACTATCAATATCCAAGTGGTTTTGCACCTCAACATTTTGAGAAATTTATTCTTACTATTACTGATGCATACAATCAGTGATGAACAATGAATCAGATCCAAAAAGTTGATACCTTATTTTAAGATTTCAAAGGTCTTAAAATAAGATTTTCAAAATTCTCATGTTGCGGGTTTCGAAGGTTTTAATTTGAGACTTTGATAGACTCAAGTTGAAACCCTCGAATGCCTGCAGTTGATACTTTCGGAAATCAACTTGAAATTTGTCTTTACGGAGAGTTCTGACAGTCTCAGCCTGAGACTTTTGAAAGTTTCAATTTGAGACTTTTCAGTCTCAATTTGAGATCATAATTCTTAAAATAAAGCTCGTTTTTATTGCGAAAATCAATGTAATATGAATAACCTGATGTCCAACAGAGTATCTCGAACAATATCAAAAATTTTATTTTATAAAACTTACCCCACACTCCCTCGCATTAGCTGCCGATAGACACCAGTAAGATTCTCCATTTCCGCAATGCAAAAGCGATCCCTAAGATCGAATTCAACAGTTGAAGTAAATTCTCAAAAAAACCCATTTTCGTCTGTCGCAAAAATAATTATCCAAATGAAAGTTGTACTCACCTGTGATATATCACAAGAGATGGTGATAATCATCATTGCAATTAATATTTTGCCGTACATCTTGAGACTCCTTAGGATGTCAAATGTGAACTGACTTCTTCCAAAATTGATGTCTCCTTTTATACCCCGTTCGTGACAATGAACAACGAATCAATGACCCTTATGCTATTTTCTCACGTGTAAACGAGATTGTGGAATTATACTCATATCGGTAATTGAGCAGTCATTTGTGTATCCAGACTCAGGTCTATTGTGTAATGACCTCTTAAGTAGACCCGACAAAATTAATTGATCACTTGACAACTGATGAAAAAACGTCGAAAAATGTAGTTTTTTCACAAATTCCATGATTTCTCCTGGAGAAACGCTGGATCGATTTGTTCTCCTCATAATCGATGCGGTTTTACATGCGCAGTCTCTTGAGCGGTAGTAGAGTTATTCGAATATGAATGACTTTGGTGTCCAGTGAAAAGTGTCTTAAAAATTCCACGACTTCTCGCGGATTTCTAGATTAAACTAATTTCATTCCCCTGACTACATTTACTAGGGTGGAGTAAACCGACCATGAGGATCAAATTTTAAATCCTTTTTGTTACAATATCTGCTTAAATACATAATAAACATTAATGGATCTACCGTAATCCAAAAACGAGGTCATGAAAAATACATTGACCTCCATTATTGATAAGGCAGGTTGGCGGAATGTGATTTTCTTTACTAATCGTTAATATGGTATTATAAAATAATTTAGCCATCTCCATTATAGATTGCACAAGTAATGAGAATCAGATGGTTTTCATTGCTCATTAACATCATTTTTGAAAGATTTATTTAAGCATTCAAACCATGTAGCTTATTCTGCTATAAAAAAAATACAAAAATACAAATGGGTTTATAAAATAATTTTTTAGGTATTATTCGTAATGATTTACATCACTTCTTCAAATATTCAATCCTGCGGAGTTCAAGAAGGAATCAATGTCTGCGAACATTTCTATTCAATTTCTTTAAGAAGGCTTCGATTTTATAGGGTGGGAGAAGCCTTCGAAAAATAATCACGAGATAAAGACTCGATGAAGCCAACTCTTTTCAAAGAGCTAGCGAGATTGTAATGATTCGCTCTGGCACTGTTAACCCGTACTATGATGCTCCGTGGAAGATTGCTGTGACGTTTGTACCAGGGTGTTCTATTCTTTTTATAATCTAAGTTGAAGTATTCTGCACCAGTCTCCAGGCTCATTCCAAGGATTTTTTCTTCTGTTTCATTAAATGATTCCCTCTTGAATCACTCGGTAAAATCGGAGAAGGGAAGCACAACTTCAACGCTCATTAATTTCGTGGAGAAATATTATTGATGGAATATTAAGTTTCTGCCAATTTTCGATGAGTCATATCGAAAGTTGAAAAAATGTTCAATTCAGGGAAATTGTTGCTTGAATTTTCGAATTAATTAATCATTTTCGCTGTCATATGGACCTGAAAATTGCAATTCCATTGAATCCTCCAGAATTCAACTGACATTTCAATAACAAAATACATGAAAATTTCGTGTGAATGAGTGATTTTTAAAAATTATAAGATTTTTTACTTGATATTTCAGGAGCCATTTTCTGACAGTGTAGATACCCTAACTTTTCCAAACTCGCCAATTTTTTTTCCGATAAATCAACAAAAAAGGGAATTAATCGGGAAGATGTTGAGTCAATGACCCTTATAGCATTCTCATAAGTGTAAATGGGATTGTGAAATTGTGCTCACGTCGATAATTAAGTAGTCATTTGTGGATTGACATCCATTAGTGATCCCATATTCTAGTGCAGAGCCGCTAGACTTCTTTAGGAAATTCTATAAAATTATAATTTTACCAGATTTGTCAAAGAAGTCGTTTGCTGAACAAGGCACGTGATACCAGCGACTGCCCGAGAATATGGGATCATTAACCCCGGTGAATCCACAAATGAACACTCAATTATCGATATAATCGCAATTTGACAATCCCATTTACCCGTAGGAAAATAGTATAACGGTCATTGACTCAACACCTTCCCGATTAATTACATTTTTTTGTTCATTTATTGAAAAATGCGTGAAAATAAAATGGATCTGACCGTTCGTTCCTGAGAAATCGTTTGCGAAATCTGAGGTTTCTAGAAGTCATGAAACGGGAATAATACACGCAATCCGCAATGGGGAATCCTTTTCCGGCAATTTTTATAGGAATGGAAGAGAAGAAATCTGAAACGTTCAGTGAATTTTCAGGTTCATCACCGAACAAAGTACGAAATTGTCACGTAATTTTTCCCGAAGAAGTAAAATCTTACAGAAACTTGCCGACTTATTGTGCCTCCAAAATCAAAAATTCTTGAACGTTCACCAATTTTTATGAAGCTGGTGTGTTATTTCTACGTTCCGTTCCGTAAAATTTCTCAATCGTTGGGGAAAAATTACGGAACGACTTGTTTTTCCCACAGCGGTGAGTCATCAGACAGGTGGTTAATTTTTACGGAACAAATGGTAGAATTTACGTGGCGATTCGTACAATTTCAATTCCGACTCACATTTTTTATTGAATTGTACTTCGCTCGCGGATTATGTTTCGAAACGTAATTTTTACATTTTTTTTCTGGTAATTTTTCTTGAATTTTTCTCTCCGTGTATTATGAAATTTCTGGTTTCGATTTTCCGGCTCCGAAAATCTCACATACGCTTAGTGAAATATAAAAAACGCTTTTTGTTTGAGTACACCTTTGTGAAGCTTAAATTCTGATTTTCATGACGGAAAAAGCCACACTGATAGAATGATTTATTTATTCCAAACGAAATTCGTTAATAGTTAACGAATGGTTCCCTCGAAAGGTGAAAGTCGAGTCAAACAAGGCTCCTCAAATATGCATTTGTTAACTATTAAGGAGTGAACATTTACTAAGACCAAATAGACCCTCGTCTCCAACCGAAAACATTTGTTAACAATAACTAACGGTTTCTATCAGTGCGCCAGATATCACATTCGCGTTAAGCATAGATTATGTTTAACAAAACGTAAATTACCATTCATATTCCATTTCCGTTGTGTGTCTAAGTGACAACCGGTTCATACCCATTCAACAGGAATCGATTAATTAATTTTATCGGATCTATTCCAGAATTCGTTTGCTGACGATGAGGCTCCCGATATCAATTAGGCTGCACAAGTGAGTGCTCAATTATCGTCATTGATTCCCTGATAATAGTCATTAACGGGGTATAAAAAGAGACATCAATTTTGGAAGAAGTCAGTTCACATTTGACATCCTAAGGAGTCTCAAGATGTACGGCAAAATATTAATTGCAATGATGATTATCACCATCTCTTGTGATATATCACAGGTGAGTACAACTTTCATTTGGATAATTATTTTTGCGACAGACGAAAATGGGTTTTTTTAAGAATTTACTTCAACTGTTGAATTCGATCTTAGGGATCGCTTTTGCATTGCGGAAATGGAGAATCTTACTGGTGTCTATCGGCAGCTAATGCGAGGGAGTGTGGGGTAAGTTTTATAAAATAAAATTTTTGATATTGTTCGAGATACTCTGTTGGACATCAGGTTATTCATATTACATTGATTTTCGCAATAAAAACGAGCTTTATTTTAAGAATTATGATCTCAAATTGAGACTGAAAAGTCTCAAATTGAAACTTTCAAAAGTCTCAGGCTGAGACTGTCAGAACTGTCCGTAAAGACAAATTTCAAGTTGATTTCCGAAAGTCTCAACTGAAGGCATTCGAGAGTTTCAAGTTGAGTCTATCAACGTCTCAAATTAAAAACTTCGAAACCCGCAACATGAGAATTTTGAAAATCTTATTTTAAGACCTTTGAAATCTTAAATTAAGGTATCAACTTTTTGGATCTGATTCATTGTTCATCACTGATTGTAAGCATCAGTAATAGTAAGAATAAATTTCTCAAAATGTTGAGGTGCAAAACCACTTGGATATTGATAGTTTGCTCAGACTCATTGATTTGAATGCAAATTTCAGAAAGAAGCGTATTGCGACACAATTTTGAAAGCAACACCTCAAGTGGCGAAAGAAGCAAATGCAGTCAGAATTCAACCAGTAGTAGCACCGGAAACGAGGAAAAATTATTGGCCGTATGTAAATCCTTCACCCGGTCGTTATACTGGTCTCTATCCTGGAGGCATTGGCAAGTGAAAATCGCGAAGGATCATGGATCAGTCGTTTTTCTCCCTGCAATTAATTCTTCGAAGCTTAATGAAAATTATACATTCGAAAAAACAAAATGTAACATGAATGGATGACAATCAACTGAATAAAATGGTGCAGAAATATTTTTAACAAACGAATTTGACGAATTTATTCCTACTTGTATTGTATAATATTTTCCCAGAGGTGTAAATGGCATTGTGGAATTGTGCTTATGTCGATAATTGAGAAGTCATGTGTGGATTCACATCCGTTAATAATCCCATTTTCCAATTCAGTACAGCTGGTATTACATGTTTCAACAAAGAACTGCCTGAATAAATGAGATAAAATTAATCAGTTGATTTCTGGTAAACAGCCATGAATGGCTTGGCGCGCAGGCAAATAATGAAAATGGAAGAAAACGCTGAACAAATATTCGGCGGAAGATTCGAGAATGTTCAAATTTTAATGTCATGAGTCAAATATGAAGGGGCGAATGTTTTTTCCGGAAAGTTGAGCTTCAAACGAACATTTTGAATGAAAAAAAATCATAGTAAAATATTCAAAATTATGATTAATTATTTATTCAAATATACTACACTTACAGAGTAGAGTAAGCGTCGTTTAATAATATAAAATAACAAAAACAAACGAGGACAGGTTGATAGAATATGAAAAAAAGAAATGCAATGAAGAAGACAGTTGTCATAAAGATTTTTCGTTTACTTGTCGTTTACGAGTAAGAAAAATTAGTTTCGGCTTAATGAAGAAATAATAATTTTTCAGAATTTAATTAAATAATGATGCCCATAAATAATGTCAATTGAGCGGAAAAAACAAGAGGCCGGATAGGGTGAACCAACCAGTGTTCGAACCAGACCAGTAATCGAACTAATTGGTACATTTCTATAAAATAAATTAGTAGAAGGTAGAGATGCCTCGCATTATACATGAAAAATAAAATTATGACATTTCCAAATGATATTGTGATGATTGAAAATGTCTAAGTTACCTTATTACCAGCGGAAAAAACAGTTTTCGATGACACGCCGCCAATAGCATATTCCCATTACAGAATACGCATTTCGATTACTGGGTTTTCACCCATTTTCAGCTTTTTGTATTCATATCATTAATTGTATCGTCAATTAATATCCATAATATTTTTTTCTATTATCTATGGAGATGTACAGGGGAGTTATAATTATTTTTAAATCAATTTTCGACTTGGTTATATTTTTTAATCTACGTCAAAAATAACTGTTACCTTATTCGTTCGGACACTGGACGATTCACCCCATTGTACTTTCAAATCAGAAGGATTAGAATGAGAGCCAATGGAATCTAACATGCGCAGAGACAAGCGCAGAGCGCCCAACTAAAGGGAATCCCATTCTCGTTATTTATTCAGTGCCTGGCCAATTCGTTCATCTTCACTCCTCAGTTGTTGTGTGAAATAACGGGAAAAATATCTGTTAAATCGCTTATTTTCAGTTAATTATTGATAACCAACGTTGTCTGCATCTTTGAAATTCAGTGAAGTGTTGATTTAGCTCGAAAAATTATGGCAGACGACGATTTTGATGGAGACGAGTGAGTACTTAACCTCAAAAAGCTCGGATTCTCAATGTTTTAATGAAAATAATCACCATAAACATCAATATAATTAAGTGACCAGTAGGAATTTCATTAAGAATGAACAACAATTGCGGATTTTATTTCTCGGTTGAATTACGCGAGAAATATTGCTCGTTTTACTGATAAACTCCAGTATTTTCCCAGAAATTGTGGAATAAATGTACAATTTCTATGAAATTGCAGGGTAGCAGACGAATTCGATGATGCAGATGAAGACGATAACATCGAGTTGGAGCAGCAGGAAGAAGAGGGTGACAATTTCGAGTTACTCCAGACCGGGGAAGGAACTGCCGGTGTTCAAAAATCCAAGAGGATAACCACCAGATACATGACAAAGTAAATAATCTAAAATCCCCCATTCTTACCACAAAAATTGAAATTCTCAATAAAAGTGAAATATTCATTAGTTTGTTAAAGACAATATCTATCAGATAAAGTCGGGAAGTTGAATTGGAATTGCCAATTCTCATTTTTGAAATTGGAATTGCTACTGATCCATTCGGAAGCTGATTACCAATGGAATTGGTAGAAAAAAAAGACTAATAACACATGAAGAAACAGTCACATGGCTTCTGACGAATAGGAGTTCTGCTCTGCTTGTTTTAAAGGCAGAATAATTTTATTTTTACCAATAATGTTCATTACATCAAATCCAAGAGGATAACCACCAGATACATGACAAAGTAAATAATCTAAAATCCCCCATTCTTACCACAAAAATTGAAATTCTCAATAAATGTGAAATATTCATTAGTTTGTTAAAGACAATATCTATCAGATAAAGTCGGGAAGTTGAATTGGAATTGCCAATTCTCATTTTTGAAATTGGAATTGCTACTGATCCATTCGGAAGCTGATTACCAATGGAATTGGTAGAAAAAAAAGACTAATAACACATGAAGAAACAGTCACATGGCTTCTGACGAATAGGAGTTCTGCTCTGCTTGTTTTAAAGGCAGAATAATTTTATTTTTACCAATAATGTTCATTACAGAGTTTAGTGACAGATAATTCTTCACGTTGTCATGCCACCCATGACAACTGACAAGCTCTCAGACGAACATGAATTAAACACTTGCAATTCAGTAGAATGAACATCTGAGATTCTGGATATTAATTAGTATTATTGAGTCACACTTGTGTATAAAATTTTGTGATCGATAAAATCGTCATTTTATCGATCATTTTCGCCTCTGGGGCCTATTCTCGACTTGTTTAAAATCATTATTGTTAATTTAGGTATGAAAGAGCTAGAGTTCTTGGTACACGGGCCCTGCAAATTGCCATGTGTGCACCAGTTATGGTTGAGCTCGAGGGGGAGACGGATCCCCTGCAAATCGCTATGAAGGAATTGAAACAAAGAAAAATTCCAATTGTCATTAGGAGGTATCTGCCAGACCACAGCTACGAGGACTGGGGGATTGATGAGCTCATTATCACCGATCATTGAATATTTTTCATCTTCAGAAAATATTTCTTCGTAATGAAAAATCACTCCAATTGCTTCAAAAACTCCAACTGAATTATTCATCAGTAATTGAAAATTTTTAATACGAAAGAATAATTTGACATAAAAATAGGATTTTTCTCTTCATAAATTCACTTATTATAAGATTAATTAATTTGTAAATAAATTTTAGCAGTTAAAAAAGTCTTTTCATTGCATAAAAGTATAATCTCCCCAATTTTCCTTTAAAAAATAATGAGTAAATGAGGAGAATTAATTTATACATTAATTCCAATAGTTTATGAGTGCAAATTTTATTGAATTCATAAATAATTAACAAAACAATTGATGAAAAATGCAGAAGAGGGTTTTAAAAACTGCATAATTTTTTTTCAGTTTTTGGAAAAAATTTGCAAAATTCTCCATTATTATTATTTAATTGTTCTTTATTTAATGGGGACGTTCTTGAGAGAGTCTGCAGTGAGCTTTCCTTTGGAGGGGGTGAGAAGGAGGTTTCCATTCCACGAAGCCTCTCCATTTGAATTAACAACGAGATCCACTGATAGTTTCTCCCAGACTTTCTTCTTGGGATTCAAAACATCGTCTGGAACTCCATTCTCGTAATTTTCTACTATTACTCGGTCTCCTGGTGATGCATCTGACGGGGGACGAATGGGTTCTACCTTTCGCTCATCTCCATCTCTATAAAATAAAATCATTTTTTATTTTGTGGGTTTTCAATTTTCGATTTGTTAAATTAGAAAGACAGTGAATAGAATAATTTATGATTCATCAATTGTCATAAGTGATATTTTTGATGTTTTGTAAATAGAATTTCCAGTGCTTGTCTGGTTTTACCTCTGAAAAAATTGTTTGAATCGATGATTATCTGATTTGATGATAAAAAACTTCGAAAATTAAATTCATCAACAGGAATATTTACAAGCAATATTTCCAATGATTCAATTGATTTCTCATTCTTGAGTTCTCGAAAATCCTTGTTGAATTTAAAATCGTTCAATTTTCAATCTTCATGAATAGAAATTTACTCACACTGAAGCACACAGGACCATTCCATGGGAAGCAATACCTCTCAGATTGGCTGGTTTTAAATTAGCAAGAACTACAACCATTCTGTCCCTCATCTCCTCGATGGGCACAAAATTCACAAGACCACTGACGATAGTTCTCGGTCCACTATCTTCCCCCAGATCAATCTTCTCGACGTACAGAGAGTCAGCATCAGGGTGCTTCGACACTTCGACTATTTTTCCGACTCTGATGTCGAGTCTCGAGGGCTCAATTTCAGTATTTTGATTCGTTGGTGCATTTGGTTTGTCTGAAAAAAAATTATAATGCATCATTCCTTGATTGTAACCATTCCTTATTATAAATTCATCATCTCCAGTTAAAAAATATTAAAATAATTATCATATTACATAAGTCAATTAAAAGAAGTACATAAATCGATTGATTGAAGATGAGTGGAAAAGGAAAATTGCGATAAATGTGCACTTATTTATATCGAATTTACGCAATAAAAAATGGAGAGAATGAAAGATTGAAAATGACTGAACAATTCTGATGAGAAAGTTTTAATTTTTTAATGTTAATTGATACTCACTCGCTTGCTTCTTTTCTTTTTGGGGTGGTGGATAAGCTTTGCTGCTGAGGCTCTTCAAATTGGAATCAGCTTCGAATTCCTTTCTGATTGGATCCAGAAGTCTGTTGATGTAAACTTCCACAGCAGCTTTCAAATCTCCAGGGTGAATTTCTTCTTTTGAGAAGGCATTCTCTAGGTCTTCATAAGTTTCATACTCTACATCACCGCCTGGAGGAAAAAAATTGTCAATTAATTGAATCAGGGGAAGTCGATGTCATTTGACAACAGCTCATTGTCTGTGAAATAGAGTCAATTTTTTTGTTGAAATGGTTTTGCAGAGAAAAATGGAAGATAAAAAATATTCTCATTGAAATTGGGTTTATCTACATTGAATCTGACTATTACTTGAAATTTGATGAATTAAAAGTCTTTTTATTCACGTGAAATAATTGCAAAATCAATTAAATTCAACGAGAAATTTAAAATTTGAAATTCAGAAAAATTGAGAAGCTTTTGTACCGAATTCCGCTGCCCTCGGAACCAGGAATTTCTCTCCCTTCTTCATGAGCGTAAAAATCACGTGTTTCGAAAAGGCGAGGATTCCGTTATCAACGATGTTTCCAGGCTCGCAGAATGCTTTCTTCAATTTTTTCTTGACATTACCAACACTGTCCAGCAGATCTATCTTGGAATCCTCCTCTGATGATGACATCTTGGCCCCAGCCAGTCCAGGGACTATCGGAATATAAAATGAATTAAATTTTTATTCGCCCTTATTCATTCAATTTCATTTGAAACCCCGCAGAGACATCGGGGCCAATTTGGAAGAAAAAATTTTTTAGGACAAAAACCGCAATTTTCAAAAAATCATAACTCTCTCAATAATCCGTATTTTTCAATTGTTGTTTTTTCAAAACTTTTGTCTAATCGTCATCTTTACGGAAAAAATTGAAACGACAATTGGAATTCATTTGCCTTATTTTATCAATGAAAATACTAATGAGTTAAAAACTTACTCATGGGATTCATCAGATGGATTCTCTTCTCATACCCCATTATGGGTAGATATTTCTCGGAGAATGTGAAGATTTTTCGTTGATCGACGCCACCGAATTGGGCATCAACCCCCAAATACTGTTCGTCGAGAGCCTGGAGTCCTGGATAGAGTAGTCCAGAGAGGAGGGGACTCGCCACTTGCTTGACAACTTCAGCACCAGCTTTCTTGGCATCGTGCTCAGTTACCACTGAGCTCAGACGATAAACATCCAAGGTGTATTCTCTAGAAACGAAGGGAATGCATCAGAATTCATTCATCCATTCCTTTTTCAGTGATAGTTATCATTATAAGGAGAATTATCAATTAGTGGAAGAGAAATAAGATGAATCGACTGGTAAGAGTTAAGGATATCCAAGTACTTTGGCTAGTTTTTCTCCAGTGAAATGCTTTTCTACTTTTGTAGTCGAACATCAGAGCTTTCATTTGAGCCCCATCTGACCCGAACTTTCAGACATTTTACGATTTCATTATTTACAATTTACAGAGAAAATGATTTAAAAATAATTTTTTTTGAAAATTACGAGCATTCTCTATAAATCATTTATTTATCAATCAATTATCCACAATAAAAATCATTTGTTTGGAATAATAACAAATTGATTCTTATTCAGAATTTTACAGAAATTGATTCGCGTTTAAACAACTTCAATTATTTATTTACAACGAAAGCTAAAAAAATTCTGTGCAAAATGTAATTTAAACGACGCTGAACATTCACAATTTTTTTTCAAATGTTCTTCACGCAATTTAATAGACAAATTTAATGATTGAAAATGTAAAAAATACTTGGATATCCTTAAATATTATTCGACTCTTTGTATTCGATTTATGGAATTCAACAAAGAATTTAGAAATTTTCCATTGGCTTGTGTTCAGTGCAAGGGAGAATTTTCCACGTGAGAGAGCTAGTCAATAACGTCAATGAAAATTAACGAACTCACTTGGAGAGTTGGTAATCCGTTCCCTTCACGAACTTCAGTTTGTCCAGAGGGACTCCAATGGAATTCAACATAGACTTGATGACAGCTTCGTAGTACTCTGTCCTCCTGGCTAGCAGCTCCCAGGGTGCCTTCATGTTATCGAGATAGGCGTGAAGGTCGGCGAAGAGAATGGTCACCTCAACCCCGGCCTTGAGGAAATCCGCGATCTTGGAGATTGGCGTGAAGTATCCAATGTGGGGCTTCCCCGTGGTCGCTGTGCCCCAGTAGAGCTTCAGATCTCTCTCCTTCAGAATGGACTTCAATTTGTCATCACCCAGCCATTCGGCAAGGTTTCTCGTTATCAAATGGTGCTTCTCTTCGGGGGTTAATTGAGTCATAATCTATTTTTAAACCCCAAAAAGCACGTTTAAAGAGAATTATTCTTCTAAGGAGAACTGTTGAGTTGTGTGAATTGAATGTTAAGTGGGAAATCCATTCTTAGAAATGGATTTTCGAATTGTTATAATTTTTTTGATAGTTATAAGAATATTTTTCAATTGTAAAATATGATTGGGTGGAAGAAACAGCAAAAATTGAATCCAGTGTTGTCGTTTTTTTCATTGATAATGGAGTTGTAGATGAAAATGGCTTTTTAATGAAATTTAATTTTTTCTACCAATTTTTTACTTCTCTTTTTGTGATGTTCTATACGCATGCGTGGGAAGGCCGCATACACGTGCAATATGTCAAAAATTGGCATGATGACATGAAATATAAGTTTTGAAAAGTCTGCAATAATTAGATTTCTTGAAATCAGAAAAATAATCTACGAAAGATGTTACTATTTATTTCAAAGGATTATTTTGTGAGGGTTAATACGCAATGATATTCGATTTTTTGAGGTTATGAATACCATGAAAACGCAAAATGACGTTGAAATATTGAGAAAAATTATTATAATCTTTCGAAATTAATCTCGAAAAGCCTCGAAAAAAAATTTTAAGCAGAAGACGATCGAATTTTGTTTATAAAGAGACTATATTATTTACTTGTCAGTATCGGTTGTGTGCCAGATGGCCAGATGTCGGAGGGGCTTCGCTTCTTTTTCCACAGTAGCGACAGTCAGGGTTGGGGGCGCGTAAATTACGTTGGTAAATTACACCGTTTTTTACCGTCGTAATTTACGTAAAATACCTCGACGAGTTTTTTACATTTTTTGCATTACTTCGAACAGCTTGCAATTTTCGATTATTAGATTGTTTTATTTTATTCCGACTGACCAAGATACAGTATTGGACATATAATATCATAAAAAATAGTATATTATGTCCCGAGGACAGGTAAACCGCAAAATTTAACTTCAATGTTATGTAAAAAACCCGTAATTTCAAGAACTTTTTTTGTGCAAAAGTCGCAAAGAAATATCTTTTTACGCCCTTACGAACCTCAAGTACCCATCCGAGAGGGTTCGTAATTTTTTAGGGGATTGAGGGAGTACCTATATTAGAAACATTCTCCAATAGAAATTGTTTGGTGTTTTTGGATATTTCACGTCCAAAAAATTTTTTTTTTTTTGTAAAAATCGCCAAAAAAGTCGATTTCGTCAAAGTTGAGGCGCCAGAAATGTCGAAATAAAAAACAATTTTTTTCACTCGGGGCCAAAGTGTCAGATCGAATTTTTTCGCCAAGTCACTGTTGATTCTGTATTTATTGGCCCCTCTAATGCCAATGAAACCCTCAGAAGCGCCAGAAATGTCGAAATAAAAAACAAATTTTTTCACCCGGGGCCAAAGTGTCAGATCTTGGATTTTCCCGAGGGAAAGTCGACTTTCGCCAAAATCGAATTTTTTCGCCAAGTGAATGTTGATTCTGTATTTATTCACCCCTCAGATGCCAATGAAACACTCGGAGGCGCTAGAAATTTCGACATGAATCAAGTCGATTTTTTGACTTTTCATTTATGCCGATTTCGGCTTCACGCGTTCATTAGACTAATCCACTTTTAGGCCTATAACAGGTCCGAAATTCGGCTTGATGGAGTCCCAGTCACTCAAATTGAAACAGTTCGAAAATGGACTAGAATCAAATGGACGTCAACTTGAAACTGTACGTTTTTTTTGTGTCATGGGTGCGGTATCCTTTCTAAAAAAACTGTCAGCAATATCTCGAATCGAAAATAAGAACTCGAACATGTCAAATTTTCAATGGTCATAATTACTGAATTTCTAAAGAAAATGAAGTAAAAACCAGGGCTAATGAATTTACACGAATACACAACCATAATTATTTCGCAATCAATATATTTCATTTCGAATTCTCAGAGTCTTCAACAATCTCAATAACAAATACAATAGAAGCGCGACAACTGAAATAAGGAAATTGGCTGTTCCGCCTCCATTTGCCTCCGATGACCCCTCATGGAGGCCGCCATTTGCCTGTGAGAGTCATGAGTTACAAATTCTCTTCTGAATTCATTAGAAAACAACATATCGTGAGTAATCGTCGATTCTTTATGTAGTGATAACACGGAAAAATGTTTCAATAGCATCATTGAGCACGAGACCCAAGGTACCCATATAATTATTTGTGATTGGTTTCTTGGGGCTGATAAGCTGAATTCCAACAGCGTCTCCCGTAAAATGCCCCTTCGGGCAAAATGCGTCGTGTAAGTGAGTAAAGGTATTCGTGCTAAACAAACAGTTCACAAGTGCTACCTCAGTGCTTGTTCCCCTGATGGAGTTTGCTGTTGATGAAAAATCGGAAAAAAATTATTGAGATAGATAAATTTTACAGTGGATACTGTGATTTCGCTTCTTCATCGTCTGATCGATATGATCACATCTAACAGTCAATACACTGACAGCGGAAGGTACCAAATTCATGTGAATAGTTGATCTTTCACATTTTTTTTGTATAAAGGAGCAGCGAAAGAAGTGTCTTATATAAACAGTCGACTGCGATTGCTTGTCTTACCTTTCGCCACACATCTTTTGACGTCTTCGTCAATTTCTTCCATATATTGCCGATTAACTACATATGGCTGAATGGAGTCCAGAACTTTCGTGATGTCTATCTTGTGATCCTTTGTGAACTGGCAACAAAAAAGGATGAATATTAATTTTGTATCCTATCGTAAAAAGGACGAATATTAATTTTAATCCTATAAGGAGAACGGAAATCGATTTCGATATATCTCGAAAATCTCGAATCACTGTCACCGTCAGACAGAAACCGAAGCGCCACTACGTGGGGAGATGAGAAGGCGCGGCCGATCTCGTATTCTTTTATTTCACAGGTGAACTCCCGTTTTCTTAAAGTAGCCCCACCCTTTTGGGGTTATATTTCAATTCAAAGATTTTTAAAAACTACAACAAATCACCTAAAAACTCGGTGTGATTCGGAATCGTAATTTTTTTCCTCATTTAATTGTCGTTCAAGTTTTTCTAAAAGGAAATGTTGAAAATCCATTATTTAACACAGGATCTTACGTGAAAAACGATGAATTTACCACAACTCCGGTTAAAACAAAGATTAAAATCTAATTTTTTTCCTAAAAACGAGAAAAAAATAATAGAAAATATTGGCACCTGTTGGATAACGATTTATCATTTAGTTTTTTTTATTATTAATAATACTGGCAACAGGAATAGACATGACAACAGTGACCATGTGATGGCGCCCGCTCGGGCGTCTCCAACTTCCCATATGATCGTACAGCGTTGTGGAGTGGGTAAGTTCGTTGCCTCACATGCGAAAGGTTCCGAGTTCAAATCCCGGCCGGGTAGAATGGTGCGATCTAACCATTTAAAGTCTTGATCATCATCGCAGTATACCCTAACCGGGTCGAGGCGATGTAAAATAACGATAAAAAAAAAAGAATTTCTCTCCGCGTAGTGAGGGAGGAGAAAAAGAGTAACGAAGGTTACAGAAAAGGGGAGTCGAACTAATGAATCCGTACAATGCCACTATCTTACGTACATAGTCCAATCCGTTAAGGAAACAACTGTCAATTTTTCGATGTAAGGGAAGGCACCTCACGGCATTTTTTTTAAATGGCCCAAATATGCAGATGGGAATGACACGTGAGTTTGTAGGATCAGGTCCCGAAGAATTCCACCAACATGTGGTGAATTCCTTGGTAGTCTTGTTATCTCCGCATTCCGGCATGTCGTTTAATAGCGTATCGCTAGACACCAGAGGTTGCTGCAAAAAGAATACAAACTCCATGACATTGTTGAGTCAGATTATAAAACACCGGCTGCAGAACTTGTGTTGATTAGTTCTAGATAGCTAATTGCTAAAATATTCTGTACTTGGATGATCTTTGTTTGAAAGATTGTCCTTTAGTAGAGGAAAAGTCAAGGCATTCGAAACAAAGGAGCAGAGACGAACAAACTAGAAATTTTTCGTTGAACTCACTGTTTCTTCTTGTTCGCGTTCTTCTTGTTCGCGTTCTTCTTTTTCGCAAAATGCCCAGGGGAATATTGCAGCGAAGGCATTTTTGGCATTCAAGCAGGTAATAAATTCATTGCCTCTCTCTTCGCGGTTATCGCCGTTGCGATTTGCTGTTGGAATTTTAGAAATATCAATTTATAAGAGAATTGCATAATATCACAGTCTTGGAATTATTGCGATTTTCTGTAGTTGGGACATAGACTATTATATATCACATCGCTTTTATCGCCGTGTTATATCTGCGATATACAATAATTCATGTCCCAAAGACCAGAAAAGTTTCGGTTCAAATGATAAATTATTCACCTTTTTTTACACATCTTTTCATGAGTTTTTCAACTCTCCTCTTATATTTGTTTTGCTTTGTATACAGACTGCATGAATCCAGTACTTGATCGATAGACAGGTAATCGTTCTGCGAGAACTGTGAACAAAATGTGAATATTGTCAATGGGAATTTTCTTTGAATGACGTCATGTGTACGATTCTCACCCAATCAAGATCCTGCAACATACAGGTGGTCATTTTCCCGTGAAAATTGATGCATTTCATGGCATTATTTTCGAAAGGACCGAACATGCATCCCCTGTTGAGTCTACTTCTCATACGGATGGAGTAACAACTCTGAAATAGTAGTAATATAGTTATGTATTTAACTGAAGCTTTGGATTCGTCATGAGTTATCCACAAATATATGATAAATGTATGTCAGATATATTTGGTATTTTTCTCTCGTATACCCTTTCGGGTTTTTACGATTTGTTCCCTTCCCACCTCGTTTAAAAAAATGACGATGGGCCATAAGCAGGAAATAATCGAATAAATTGTCACCGTCAATTTCCATCTGTATAGATGACCCTTAATTTTCGAGTACTACTCCAGCGATCCCTACACTGTTAAAAAATTTTCGCTGAAATTTCTAGTACACTTCGGAAATTTTTATTTTTAATTCAAGTTCCACTGAAATTTCAAGGAATTTTCTCGTTGAAAATCCTGAATTTCGGGGATAAATCGATGAGAACTGGAGATTTTAGTTCAATTATTCCTGGAAAATTAATAGATAAACGAGAAATTCCGATAAACATATTCTTGAATTTTCAGGGGAATCTGAAATTTCATTTTTTTTCTCTTAAATTGCATTCAGTAGAATTTTAAAAATAGTATGTGTTACGCGTACATGCGAAAAATCTCCTTTACGCACTCGTAACACAATATCCTATTTCAATCATTTTCTTTATTATGAAAAAACTACTTGAAGAGTTCACTTTTCAATTTAGACACGCGGAGAGAAATGTTCAGTAAAAATTACGGAACTCACAATTCTCTCACTGATTACGGAATCGACTGAGAAAATTTGAGTGACCGTATCGTAATTTTTCACAGGAGATTCAGATAAAAATGACGGAGCGCTCTGGAAAAATTCAGTGATAGTTCCATAAAATTTCTTACAACCACATTTCGCTTCGGAATTACAGAAAAGATACGTAATTTTTATTGAATATTTCTCTCCGTGCATGGTTCGACATGAATTTCTAAAAATAAAAATGGATAAAAGTCGATGCCATGTCCCTATTGTCGGATTTTTATTGACGACACTGTGAATAGACATTGTTCGATAAAACAATATTTTCTTGTGCCGTTGAAAATCTCAAATATTTAGAGATGGTAATGAAAAAAAAATCAATCGACTTACGGGAGCCAAGACAATGACGGCAATTGAAATAAAAAATATAATGGTCGCCATAATTTTCCTGGATCTTCGAGATACTTCGGGCGTTGAAGATCCAACGCTTCAAGCAACTATCACATCACAGACCAGACATGAAAGTTTTATATAGCTGTAAGGAGCCCAAAAACGTGACGTGGTAGGCATTGCGATATGGTGTTACCAGACGGGAGGCATTATCAATTGAACAATCGAATTCCATCCGGTAATTATCGACAAATACAGGTGAATCCGCGTGCGAGCTTTTAATGTATTGACTATTATATTAGTTTTCACAATGGGTGAACAATGGGGTGGATGAGAGATAACGAATTCCCAGAGTTAAAAACATGACGATTCATTGGATTGATCGTGGATTAACTCCCAGTGGAGAGCTAATAGGGGAATTCAATCAATATTATTGAAACAATCATCTTTGTCACAGTCGCCAATCAATTGTTCTTATTGTTCCCCTTCTATTTTGGATCTGAGCACTTTCTTTTTGGTCCATCATTTCTATCTTTTGGTCTGTTAATACTGATCTCATTTAAAAAAATCAGAAACTTAAATTTGGAAATGAGGAAGACATATTTCTGTAAAAATACAACTTCCTTGAAAAACTTGACAACATGCAGAAATGAATTTTAAAAAACCACGTCAGTGCTCGGTAAAAGCAGTAAAGACAGAATCGACGTCGGATGACGCGGAGTTTTTGCAATCACCGCCTAATATTAATCTAATCTTCTATGTTCTGAGGCGTGCCAAGGACTTCGGTTGTGTCTTTACTGATTTTGCTTCCGCATGGAAGCATTCACGTATGAAAAAATCGTATAGAAATTTTCTACACGAACTGTGAATAGAAATTCTATAGGATTTCCGTATATGATATTCGGATATTTCTATACGAATTATTTCTATACATAAATTTTGACATAAATTTTTGTTTTCATACGAAAGATGTCTAAACGCCCCAGAGAAAAACGTAGAGAAATGTCGCAACTCCATACGAAATGTTTCTATACGTGTGGCAGTGGGTCGTATAGGATCAAACCTATAGAAATCGTATAGAAATAATTTGTATAAAAAATATCCGTATAAAAATATCCTAATATCATATACGAAAATCCTATAGAAATTCTATACGCAATCCGTGTAGAAAATTTCTATACGATTTTTTTCATCCGTGTTGTATTCATAAAATCCGAAATTTCCAATTTTTTGGGTCAGGATAATTAATTTTGGCCTTAGGAGTTCGAATATGCTATTTTTAGACCATGCCCAGATGGATGTATATACCACGCAGCGTCAACTGTCAACGTTGAACTCAATGAATCATTCAAGCTTTTTTATGAAAGTTGTATTTTTGCAGAAAATTGTTTTTCTCATTTTCAGGAGCTGCCAAAGAAAAATTTTCCTTGGCACAATGTTTTTTACAAAAATAATTATTCCTGTTTTTTGGGAAGCTCTCATCAGTTTTTGCGAAGCGAGGAAATAATTAATTTTGTATTTGTCTAATTTAGTTTGTTGGAGTCGAGTTATCCGTCAGGGGTCGCAAGATACATATGACAGGTCAAATGTCGTCAGGCAGATATTGTATGTTATACATTCCAATTTTTGTACGTTCCATACTTCAGTATCTCAATAGTTCTGGCACATTTCACAATGGCGGGAAAAAAAATTCATCACATTAAAGTTGCAGAATTGATTGCATGCATTTCCAGCCAAATAATGTTGGCAATCGCGCTTTTGACACGTGTATTGACATACAAAATTAAAATTAATCGATGTTAATTCACATCAAAGTTTGTCATAATTATTAACATAGCCATCTGACCTCGACGCACGCTGAAATCACAAGATGAAAAAACATAAAGGAAGAAATCATAACAAGGAAAACGAGTGTCAGAGAAGAAACAAGTGATAGCAGACTGTATATCCCACTCCCGCCAGGAGGAGTACCGAGTCATTTAATGACTTCGAGGAAAATCGCCATTTCCTCGTCAGTGGTTTTATGCACTGCTGCAAAGTCACAGCAAACGTCGAGTATGCTCCGAATTCTAATCATCTTCTCGTTACTGTTCCTGGATTTTGGATCAGTGTTGGCTACATACACTCCACCACAGGCCAGAGTGGAACCTCTATATCCAAAAGGCATTAGAATATCGATCCCAGGTGAGTCTTTTAAAAAATAAAATAGTATATTTCGTAACGAGTGCAAAAAAGTGTTTTTTGGTGAGCGGGAGGTTTATATCACGAGCCGAAGGCGAGTGATATAATCCCACGAGCTAAAAAACATTTTTTCACGAGTTACGAACAATATTTTTCATCACAATGTGGCGGAAATTGGACTTTTAGGCACGCGGAGCGTGCCGAAAAGTTCACTTTTCGTCACAGCGTGATGAAAAAGTGTTTTTTGGTGAGCGGGAGGTTTATATCACGAGCCGAAGGCGAGTGATATAATCCCACGAGCTAAAAAACATTTTTTCACGAGTTACGAACAATATTTTTCATCACAATGTGGCGGAAATTGGACTTTTAGGCACGCGGAGCGTGCCGAAAAGTTCACTTTTCGTCACAGCGTGATGAAAAAGTGTTTTTTGGTGAGCGGGAGGTTTATATCACGAGCCGAAGGCGAGTGATATAATCCCACGAGCTAAAAAACATTTTTTCACGAGTTACGAACAATATTTTTCATCACAATGTGGCGGAAATTGGACTTTTAGGCACGCGGAGCGTGCCGAAAAGTTCACTTTTCGTCACAGCGTGATGAAAAAGTGTTTTTTGGTGAGCGGGAGGTTTATATCACGAGCCGAAGGCGAGTGATATAATCCCACGAGCTAAAAAACATTTTTTCACGAGTTACGAACAATATTTTTCATCACAATGTGGCGGAAATTGGACTTTTAGGCACGCGGAGCGTGCCGAAAAGTTCACTTTTCGTCACAGCGTGATGAAAAAGTGTTTTTTGGTGAGCGGGAGGTTTATATCACGAGCCGAAGGCGAGTGATATAATCCCACGAGCTAAAAAACATTTTTTCACGAGTTACGAACAATATTTTTCATCACAATGTGGCGGAAATTGGACTTTTAGGCACGCGGAGCGTGCCGAAAAGTTCACTTTTCGTCACAGCGTGATGAAATAGTATATTTCGATACAAGTGCGACAGATTTTTTTGCGAGTACGAAGTTGGAGGCCTGAGGTGAAGCCGAGGGCTGGCAATCTAACGAGCGAAAAAATCCCCGTCGCATGTGTCGAACTATATTTTTCATCACTCGGGCGTAAAGTGAATTTTTCCAAATTTTTCCGCATTTTTTCTCAAATTTCCCAATTTTCCCATTTAGGAATGCAGAATTCTGATTCAGCATTTCCAAATATTAGCTTACATTTTTCTCTTGTCATTATCAGAAAATTATTGACGATTACAATTGAAATATTTACTTTGGGCCTCAGTAGATCATAAATCCTCCGATATTTATAATTCTGCTGGATTCATTGGGAAATGGAACATTCCACGTTATTTCGCTAAAAAAATAGTCAGATTTTTATTTCATTCCCGTTTTTTTTATATCGCAAGCAGTTTAAGCAAATTATGCCCGGGATTATGTCAATTGCCTTATTGACAGATATGTGCGTACAGCATTATCAGCGTGACACTTGCCGGTATTATACCGCCCAACTGACAAAATATAAACAATCAATGTATTATTCAAGACGCCACGTGGGTATGCCCAGACCAGACCTCAATTGGACTGCCACGCGTATAAAAGTAATAAACCCTTTATAACCAGTCAGATAACGCAGTTATTATGGTGTAGTAATAATTACTACTAATAACAATTACTATAATTATAAGTACTCTCCACGCTGGACACAACATGTTTTTTTTATTTTGGCATGTTGAAGGGTCACGATGATTTTTTAATGATTTTTTTATGATATATTTTTGTGATATATTTTTTTATGATACATAGCTAAAAAAATATGCAGTTTACGGAAAAAAATGGAGAATTACTTTTGTTCGGAAAAGCGTTGTGTGTTATCAGAAAAAATGCGATGGCGAAAAGTGAATTTTTATCAGTTTTTTCATAAACAATTTTATTTTATTTCGTTTAAACAAATAGACATTCAACATTGTTGAATAAGCAATTTATGGGAAAGTGCAAGGATAATTTCTTCTCGGGAATAGCAAATGTTTATGAAAAACGAATAATTATTATCCATGTTTTCTTGAAAATAATTAATTTTTGTTTTAAAAAAATTTTGAATTTAAATTGTCGCCAAATGAAGATGAGAAATAAATGATATGACAATCAGAGAATTCCATTGATAAAATATTTTAATGATTTCATTCAACGCGTCGAGTTTTACTTCCAATTCGTGACACACGTGGCAAATATTGTGTTGACTATCTCGGAAAATGAAAATTTTCCATGTGAAAACCTCGAAGAAAGTCAACTATGCGCTATCATTTGCTCGGCGTATTTTTCCATTGAAGTTCGTGAGATACCCCGTATACGTGCACTGCCATATCACCCGCTGAACCCGGTACTAACGATACTTTTTTCAATGACACAGACCCTTTGACTCATTCCTTTTTGAATGGGTACTTGAAATATTGCGTTGCTTCATTACTATAGTATTTAGTATTTAACATTAATTGAGTATTTGACTTGAGTCATTTTTTGCAAAGATTGGGATTTTCTTTCTAAAAAACAGCCTATCTGAAAAATCCATGAAGAGCTGAAATTAAGTTTGGATTAACCGTTTCTTTCCAAAATTAATAATTGCAAACGTCGAATGTGTCGTAAAATGGAGCTCAAGATGGACTTCTCAGAGGAGCAAACCTCCTCATTATCGAAAAAATAAAAAAAATAAACAAATAAAAACAACCTCTCATTGTGTTGCTGTAAGCTTTTCTCTTCATCATCACGCAATGAATACTTCCTCATATGATTCAATCTCACCGATTCAACATCAGTATAAACTTAAGAATTAGTAGAATGAATAGAGATCGATCAATAGTTTAGCACAGATCCTTAGTAATACAGAATGTAATGAAATAATTTTCAGTCGAGTTACTCATTGAAATGGTAATCAAGATATATGCCCGCATAATTGCTCAAACAGATGACAAAGTAATGGATAATTATCATTTCGTCAATTTTCAATAATTATTTGATGCTGAGTTTTTAATTTCGACTGTCATTACAATAGTAATGGATAATTTCCGCCTCCAATTACTCATTATATAAGTAATTGAATTGTTAGCTGTCCCATTATCCATTACTTAAGAGGAAGGGGAATGCGAATCGGATGAAAAGTGTGATCCAAAAAGCATTTTTTAAGTGAAACCGGAAAATTACGTTTCATTATAAATTGGAAGGCAGAGTGGATTGCGTTAAATATTTTTTCAACTTTCTGATATTTTCTGATATGCCTTTTCAGAGATCGACAGGAAAGTAATATTCCATATCGATAATATTTCGCAAGCACGTTGATAATTAATGAAAACCATTAAATTCTCATTACTTCTGTAATCTATAGCGGTCATGTGCACGCCATTTTTTAATATGGTATTGAAGGTTCGTAAAAAATCACATTTTAATCACCTCTCTAGTCAATAACGGAGCTAAATGGATTTTTAATTACCTTGTCATTGGATGGTGGCCAGTATCATATTTTGTAATAAAAAGTATTTACCGCTTGACCCTCATGATCGTTTTACTCCACCCTTCGGTCGGATCCTTATCAACGTTTTCGATTTTTTTAAAGCAACGAGATCGGCCGCGCGTGCTGCGCACGCGCCTTCTCCTCTCCTCGCGTGGTGGCGTGTCGGTTTCAGTCTTACGGGTCTTACGCTTACGCTCATTCGAGATATTTCGAGATCGATTTCCTTTCTCCTTTTTACGATAGGATTTCCCGTTTCGTCAAAATCCTAAAAACTTAATGTGGTTCATACCATTTTCCGCATTATATGCTACAGTTTTTGTCCTTCTATCATCCTCGGAGGTCCATAAATGAAATAACAGAATAGGCTATCATGATATAATATAATGATGATGATTTCCGACGCCCTGTTTGCTTTTTTCATGCATGGAAATTTTTTTTATGAAATTCATACCCCAATTTTGTTTTTCTCTAAATTTTTGTCTTTCTGCAAATAGAAAAAAAATAAAATTTTGATTGCAAATACATACTGAAAATTCGAAAATGTTCCTGAGAACATCCAAAACCAAAAAACTTTACGTTTTGTGCTCAATGAAATACTAGAAATATTGAAACAATTATGGTACGATATTTCAAATTCTGAAAAAACCATATGAGAAACTGCAAAAAAAAAAAAAAAAAAAAAAAAAAAAAAAAAAAAAAAAAAAAAAAAAAAAAAANGGAATGACGTCATCATCACCTTTCTCCGCAAATTTGTGATGATTCTGATAAAATAAGCAAAATGATGAAATTGTATAATTTATCGGGTGTTAAGTCTGTGGAAGATCCATCTCAATAATTTTTTCATAAAAATCAAACAGATGAACAAGGAATAACGTTAGTCGCCTTCCACGTTCGAATAAACGAAGAATTCGAAGGGCTGGAAGCTGGAACAATCGCTGTAGATGTGTTAAGAGTCCGAAACGGTCGTTGGAAATATGAAGATCGTACAACTAAATTAAAGTACGGAGATAAAGTATATTATTGGGTGCACGTTGTGTACGAAGGCCTCGGTTACAATCTCCTGTTTCAAGAGCACGAGGTCACTGGTGAGTCAGTTACTCTCATCAAAAGGTCAAATAATCATTAAAGATGAAGAATCACGATGAACCTCATTAATACGCCACTTTCCTCGTTCCTCAAAATAGATTTCTACGATGTCAACGGTAACAGAGTTAATCTCAATGGTGAGCCGGTATATCCAGGAGCGGACAATCCCAATTGTCAAATTTCAACGTCCGTTGTGGTGGATCTGTCAACGGGCCGGCGAAATGCAGCTTGCGCTGGGGAACCGCTCTTTGAGGATGAATTCGTCGACTTTGATCCCAGAAAATGGAATACTATTGAACAATTCTCACGCGCTCCTGTAATTTTTTTCAATCGCTAGTCGTTTTAATGAAGCAATTGTTCACTTTAATGATTGATAAAATTTCTTTTGCGATGAATAGGATTATCCGTTTGTTATTTATCGAAATGATCAGAGGAATGTAAAGGTTGCGGATGGAAAACTTCATTTGACACCGACACTAATGGAGACTGAGTATGGAAAGGATTTCATTCAACATGGAACTTTGACGCTTCCAAAGTAATTAATTAATTTTCAATAATAATATTAATAATAATAATAATGAATAAATTGAGTATTAGTTATTATTGTCATCAACAATAATAATTATTATTAATAACAATAATAACAATAATTGTTAATAATAATAATTAAAAATAATTATTGTTATTATAGTTATGATTAATTATTAATTAATAGTAATAATATATTTCTAGTAATTAATTAATTACTAAAAGTGTCTCTCTCCGATGCAATTTCTTGACTTCTTTTCGACCCCCCCCCCGCCAATTATCCTGTTGAAAGGAAACTGATCTGATTTTCTGATCGGTTCAGATGCACAGGCAAATTAAACACGCAGGATTGCACCCGCACCGCTCGTGGCAGCTACATATTGCCACCAGTAGCATCTGGAGCCGTGAATACCAAGAATTCGTTCGCCTTCATGTACGGAAGAATCGACGTTCGCGCAAAATTGCCAAAAGGGGACTGGATATACCCAGTTATCGTGTTGGAGCCCTGGGATAATGATCCAAACTCAATGGAGACGACGCAGCAGTTGAGAGTCGTTGAATCCGCGGGTAACGAGCAGCTGCAGGCTGGTGGAGGCACCGATATCAGTGGACATATCATCTGCGGTGGACCGATCTCAAGGTTGACCGCAGCCAGTACTGGGCCCGCCCAGCGGGCGAGAAGATACTCCCCGGAACTCTGGTCCGACTCGTTCCATACGTATACGCTGGAGTGGCGGAAAGATAAAATTTCGGTCAAGGTGGATGATGTCGAGTATGGAAGTGCTGCGGTTGGTTCCAACTTTGATAAACCGGTAATCATGAGAAATTAATAAAGGCGACTTTTCTTATAAGATACTCAGGAGACCGTAGGGGAGAGGAATTCCGGGAATTGTGCCGGAGAACAATTGATATTTTATATAAGATAGTTCCGTCGCTGCTCTCATATTCGGAGAAATTTTTACTTCAAATGAATTGATATCGAAAGCTATTGACCCAATAAGTGTCCAAGTACTGCTATTTCACATTTTGAAGTCCCCTTTCAGTCTCGTTTTCCAACATACCCCTACATGATAGAATCAGTGGAATCAAACGGCCTTAAGGGTGCCAAGTGAATTTGAAAAAAGATTCAAAAAAAATTTTTTCTTTCCCTCCATCATTGGAGAAATATGTATTCATCCATCCGACGAAATTGCAAACCCGCAACCGGAACTAGACATCGAAAAAATAAATGCGGAAAATCTGATCTATTTCGCGTGACGAACCTCGAGAAAGCATGGGATCAAATGGGTACGGCGGGTTGAAATATCTCTCTTATTCACCCCGGTACCCCATTCTTTTTTCTCGCCATCACATTGAACACATTATTCCCCATATCTTCAAATTTTTTCAAATTTTTCTTGAGTTCCTAGGGGGTTGAAACGTTCAATTTAATCAAAACTCCATAAGAGGCCGTGTATAAGACTGATTTTGTTTATTTAATTTCTCGATATCCATAAGTTCTAAAATTTTAAAATTGGCACCGATCTGTCTAATACTATTAATTAAAAAAATTATAACTTTGTTGGTGAATGTCAATTGTCAAGGTCATCGCCAAATTCATTTGGCACCCTTAACCCTCCTGTAGTCGCACGTTTTCGCCGGACGTCGTTGGTCGCGTGGTAAGCGCTGCGCCGTCCGTACGTTCTCGAGCGCAGCGTTGCCAGAGCCTTACGACACTATAAACATATCACCGGCCAGCGCCTCCCCACTCCGCACACGCTGCTTGGGACTACCACGAGGGTCGGCAACACCGTTCGTCAAATTTCCACTACGAGAGCGGTCGCACGGTGAGCGCTGCGCTCATTCTCGCTAACCGCGCTCGACAAAAAAATTAATTGAGAAAAAAATTGTCAGTACAGGGCAACCCTACCGTGTTCAATCTCCTCAGGACATATCATTTAAGGAACTCGTAAATAGGCAGAGCGTAATTCATCACATTTCTAGAGATATCGTGAAAATAACAAAAACGGTGGCGTTCAGACCATAGCGCGACCACTGGAGGGTTACGATCGTGTTAGACCCATATAATTATTTCGCTCATCTCTCACGTTTGACTCCCATAATCACTCCATTCATCCCTCGTGTATGACCCTTGTGACCCTTACAAACATTCCTTTCCCGGTAAAAAATATCCACGCCCCTGGGTATCTTATAGAAAGTACTCAGCCTCGAATGTTTAGAAGTAATCCTCGAAAATGCCTCTTTTCCAGTTTTATATAACCCTCGGGGTCGGTGTGGGTGGTTCTACGGAATTCCCTGACCAGACTTTCAGCGGTTCATATCAGAAACCCTGGAAGAATGTCGCGTCTAAGGTAAGCCGAATAAAAAAATCTGAAATGCATGTCAGTCAACATGAACGTCACGGTATAATTATCATTTCCAGGCTTTATTCGACTTCTTCAATTCCACTCAGCAGTGGTCGGGGACTTGGAGGAACACGGATAGGGAGTTGAGAATTGATTACATCAAAGTCTCGGCTCTGTAATCGTCACGAATGTTGAATTCTCATATAAACTCTTTTTCACCCAAATAAACCCACATGGAAATATTTTTATACAGAGATATATCTCATGCATCTCATATATATATATGAAAACTATATGGATACTGTTAAATAAATGTCTTTTTTAATAATTAATCATTTTATTCGAAGAATCGGGGCGAAAGATCGGGACCCTTTGGCTCGGGTTGAAAAAAAAACTTTTTCAGTTTTCATTTTTTCCACATACTTTTGAGAGTTCTGAATAGCCTGTCGTTTAAATTATTGGAATCAACGTTCACCCGGCTAAAAAATTCGATTTTGGCGAAAGTCGACTTTCCCCCTGGAAAACGCAAAATCTGACCCTTTGAAAATCTGAAAAAAAAAACTTTTTCAGTTTTCACTTTTTCCACATACTTTTGAGAGATCTGAATAGCCTGTCGTTTAAATTATTGGAATCAACGTTCACCCGGCTAAAAAATTCGATTTTGGCGAAAGTCGACTTTCCTCCTGGAAAAATCCAAGATCTGACGCTTTGGCCCCCGGTGAAAAACATTTTTTTTCCGTTTTCACTTTTTCCACATACTTTTGAGAGTTCTGAATAGCCTGTCGTTTAAATAGTTGGAATCAACGTTCACCCGGCTAAAAAATTCGATTTTGGCGAAAGTCGACTTTCCTCCTGGAAAAATCCAAGATCTGACACTTTGGCCCTCGTGACCCTTGTGATCCTCTGACCGACTTTCCCCCTGAAAAAATCCAAGATCTGACACTTTGGCCCTCGTGACCCTTGTGATCCTCTGACCGACTTTCCCCCTGAAAAAATCCAAGATCTGACACTTTGGCCCTCGTGACCCTTGTGATCCTCTGACCGACTTTCCCCCTGAAAAAATCCAAGATCTGACACTTTGGCCCCCGGTGAAAAACATTTTTTTTCCGTTTTCACTTTTTCCTCACGAGATCCATTTTTTTATTCTATTGCATTTTAAATGAGAGTGTAAAAATTTGTTTAGTATCTGGAAAATATCCTGAAATGCACTTAAATGCTGATAGCTTATTACAAAATATTTATTTCCGACATAGATATTTTTTATATAAAAAAATACTGGGAGAGGAATCATCACGAATGTTCGTTCAGAAAAGTATTAAAGGAAGGACAATGGAATCGTAAACTAGTGTTAGCAAGAAATGACTTCTGGGAATCTGGGTTTTGTTCGTCCTCGGCTGATGCTGAGGCTTTCGGCTTCCCATGGGATCCCTCACAATTCTTAATTTTTCTCCAGAACAAAAACAGCCCGCTCTGAGCAACATCCCCTGACCACTCTTCCCTATCACCAACGAGTTTGAAATCTTGAAGTAGTTGGCTGTCGATGTTTGCCTCCACGAACTCGATGTAAGTCATTTGTTCATCACTATAACAGGGAAGTTCCGGCTCTGTTGGGACAGGCGATGTCTTCAACTGTGGCTGTCTCGTAATTCTCACATTCTCTTCGTAATGGATCGCATCAGGATTGAATGGGTGGAGTCCTGTGGCCTGGAATCCATTCGCTAGAATGCTCTCCCACTTCATCTTACCAAGTGCTTTTTCCAAAACTCCTCCGAAGTGCTCTCTCTTGACACGATTTCCATCTTTAGTCAGCCTCCACTCAGTAACAGCATCTCTCCAAGCAGCTTTGAGGGGATGAAACACTGCGACGTCCATTGGCTGCAGAAAATTGATGTAGTTTGGATGAATTGAAATCAACTCTATCCCATTCTCACGACAAAAATCACTGAGCTGTAGAGTCAAATGAGCCGAGTGTCCATTCAGATACAGAACAACTGGCATTTCAATCTCATTTTTCACAATCCAAGGGTGAAAAGACTTGCGAATCCAATCCAAGAATGATGTTGGCGTCATCCATCCAGTAGTTGAACGACCAATGGTGTAGTCTTTTGGTGTGAGTGCTGTGACAATAGCAGGTATTCTTATATAGTTGAAGGTGATCATTGGTGGTAGATGGTGGCCAGCAGCATTCCCACAGAAAAGTGCTGTGAGACACTCTTTTTCATCGAATGCTGCTCGATTTCCTCGTTTTATCAGGACTTTCTGGCCCTTTGGACACAGGTAGAAGCCTGATTCCTCACAGTTGAACACACGAGAGCTGTCAATGCCCAGTAAATTTTTGGTGACCAAGTAATTTTTCACTTGTTCAAACCAGTGGCGAATTTTCTCCTCAGTTACTTTAGCTTGAGATGACGTTGTATTCTCGGAAAGTCTGTCTTCAACCTCGGGATGACGTTTCTGAAAGGCTCCGTACCAGTGTCTGCCAGGACGACCATCAGTGAAAACGTCAACTTTACCCAGCGATTCGACGAGCTTTTGGACGGAATTTAGGAGCTGATCCTTGGTGACAGGACAGCCCTGGTCAGACATGTAGAGAATCCATTCTACGAGCTTCTGTTCGTAGAATTCCCCTAGGACACTCACAGGTCCTGGTCTGCCTATTGTGGGCTTTGAGATACCTCTGGACTTGTCGAATAGGGTTGACTTGGGGATGTTGAATTCCTTGCTCACTGATCCCAGGGTCTTTCCTGCATTCACAGCGTCCAGAGCTTTCTGGAGGTCCTCATTAGTGTATGCTGGTACTCTTTTGCGTTTAGGCCTGGGAAATTAGAAATATGGACACGTATGAAGAAAATTAGTAGAACAACTCAGCGCTTTCTCTGAAGAATTCTATTGAATTTCTATTGGAAATCTATAAGAATTCTATTGGAAAATTCTGTTTCTTGCGCCAATTCTATTAAAAATTATGTAACATCCCCATGCGTTTTTAAATATATATTTGCTTATAAAAAAGTTTACAGATGTTGGTTTTTCCATGGAACTCATTCTGCTGAGATTTTTTGAATAAAAATTTTTCGGCCCAAATTTCAAGTTTTTTTGCTTGAATTTGATTATGAAAAACAAATAAAAACAGCAGAAAAAACTTAGAAAATTGACATAGAGATTCTACTTGTTTTTTGCGCTGATTCTATTGCATAATTGATCGGAGAAAGTCAATATATTTTGAATTTCTGTTCGAATTTTTCTCTTAAGATTTTTTCTATCAGAATTATTGGGCACAAATTTTCTACGTTTCTTCCACTGGATTTTGTTTTGTTTTGCATTACAGAATCCGAGTGGAAAAAAATTAGAAAATTGATGCTCAAGCATTCTCATAGAAAAAATCTCACGAGAAAAATTCAAACAGAAATTCGAAGTCGATTGACTGTTTCTTCGCGAATATCCAATAGAATCAGCGCAAAAAACAAACAGAATTTTTCAATAGAATTTCAATAGAAAACTTACAGAAACCCTATACAATTGCTATAGAAATCCAATAAAGTTTTCTAGCAAATTCGAAAGGTTTTCTACTGATAAAAGTCAACATATTTAGAATTTCTGTTCAAATTTTTCTCTTGAGATTTTTTCTGTTAGAATTATTGGGCACACGAGAATTTTCTCACGAGAAAAATTCAAACAGAAATTCGAAATCGATTGACTGTTTCTTCGCGAATATCCAATAGAATCAGCGCAAAAAACAAACAGAATTTTTCAATAGAATTCCAATAGAAATCTTACAGAAACCCTATACAATTGCTACAGAAATCCAATAGAGTTTTCTAGCGAATTCGCAAGGTTTCACGTATGAAAAAATTTTCTAGAAATTTTCTGTACGGATTGCGTATAGAATTTCTATAGAATTTTCGTATATAATATTCGGATATTTCTATATGGATATTTTTTATACAAATTATTTCCATACGATTTCTATAGGTCTGATCCTATACGACCCACTGCCACATGTATAGAAACATTTCGTATAGAGTTGCAACATTTCTCTACGTTTTTCTCTGGAGCGTTTAGACATTTTTCGCATGAAAACAGAAAATTAATGGATAGAAATAATTCGTACAGAAATATCCGAATATCATATACGGAAATCCTATAGAATTTTTATACGCAATTCGTACATAAAATTTCTATACGATTTTTTTATGCGTTTGTACTGAATTTTTTCATACGTGTGACGAGGTTAGGTTGGACTTCACGTGCGGTAACCCCGCTAACCTTGCATTCGCTCGACTCAGTCCCCGAATTCTATATTTCTCCCACAAAATAAATTATTCCTCCCTTTTTATCGATAGCAGTTTCCTCCAAAATCATCTCTCGACTGATGGAAACCGATTGAAATGTATTTTCCACTTACATTTTCGTGTTTGATCCTTATGCAGTAACGAGGAATGGTAACGCATGTGGGCTACGTCTACATGAAACTCGTGAGCAAACGGATCAGCCAGGCGAACAGTTGGATTGACTTATCCCTAATATTTTTTATGACTCGCGAAATATCGAGCAAGTTCTAGATTTTTTTTTCACTTTCGGGTGAGAGTGTATGAGCGACTCAGAAGAGAAGCAATATTGACGAAATGTGAAACTCTATCGTAAGAGTGCTCTGTGTTCGACAAACGGGTCTCGTTCGGCAAGTGAGCCAGTCATGAGAGCCATATTTCAAAGCTGTTCGCGCCGAAAAGGATAGGATAATTCAGTCGAAGTTTTAAAAAATTTCGATAGTTCTTTTTACGAGAAAGATGAAATAAAAATGTAATTTTTATGGGGAAAGTATTAATTAATGTTGTATTGCATATAACATAGTTATTTTTGTTAATAAATTAACAATTGAAAAGTTAAATTTAAATTTAAATGTTTATATGAATAATGTGGAATAAACCAAAGTGTGAATAAGGTATATAATATATATGCAAACCAATGTGTATCCAACGACAGTGTAAATAATTTTATCATAAATTAAGTACTTTGAACAAAAAAAAAAAATTTAAATGTTTGATCGTGGATCGAAAGACAACTTGTATTTCTCAAATTAAATTTAGACAATAAACTAGACACATCGAATCAATTGATAAGTGATATTCAGATAGTTGACTAGTAAATAATTTTCCCAAAATATTAATTCGTTGAATAGGAATATCAGTCTAGATTAGCGCAAATGAAAAATGAAGTAAATAGTTGACAAATAGTTCACTAAACGCACTAAACGCAATTTTTTAAATTTCTAAAATTTACATTTTCGGATTTTTTGGATCAGAGTGGGTCGATATAACACAAAAAATCCAAAAGTTGAATTGGGACGATTACAAAGCTTGCATTCGGAAGCAAAAATTTCTCATTTCGAATTTTCTGATGAAAGAAAATCAAACTGAAAATGACTCATAAAATTTATTTTTTCCCAATCCCTTTATTGTATGTATAATTCCTATAAAAGAATCCAAATCCAAATTCACACAAAAATCCAATGGAATTCACAGAACCAACTGAATATTCCACTCCTAAAAAATTGCATTTCCCATAAAAAAAATTATTTAAAAAAAGTGATTCAATTGAACGAGTGATACATGTCGATAAAAAAATATTCAATGAAAAATATCTTGCCGACTATTGCAAATATTTTGAAATTTCATCCAGCCGAAACCCGAAGGTCAACGTAGCCTCGAAAAATACAGCGGTAAGTGAGGAAGTAAACGTAATTGTTTACAGTGAATTGTACGTAGCATTTTCACTCGCCAAATGGTCGTATAAGGATGGACAGTAAAAACCCGACGACTGGGGCCTTATTTCATTCTCCCGCTTATTCGATTGTGCAGTGTTACGAAACTCGATACATTCGTGCGTTGACTTTTGTGGAATAATGTTCGTGAATTTGTGAATTTTTCGTTGATTGCGAGTATGAATCCAACGCCGGATAAGCAGAGCGTGAGGTCCATCCATTGTAGAATATGTCACGAAGGTAAATACGGATATCAACGAAATTTTTTCTCATTCTTGTCGTGAGAGTGATAAAAACAAAACTGAGAAATTCGTTTCGCTTTTATTGTTATCTAAACAAAATTAGAAATTCTGAAATAATTTACAGTGAATTTGCTAGAATAAATTATTGGAAAGGGTTTTAATGGTGGGAGTGCAGAATATACCTACAGAGTGATTCCTAAATTTTCGATTGAATTGTAGCAACAGAATTGATACAATCAATTAATGAATTCATTTTGGAAAATTCGTCTCGTTTAATTCTTTCAATGCTTTTTTATTTTTGAGAATTTCTGCAAATAAAAAAAAACACCTCAACACTTTTGATTTTCTTAGGACACCCGAGAATTTTCTGAATTTCTCTGGAAAACCCTCAACTTTTCTTGTCCTATCAGGTGTTCTACACGGAGAGCGAAATGTTCAGTAAAAATTACGGACCTCACAATTCACTCACCGATCACGGAATCGACTCAGAATTTTGAAGTGACGGTATCGTAATTGTTCACAAGAGATTCAAATAAAAATTACGTAAGGCTCCGGAAAAATTCCATGACAGTTCCGTAAAATTTCCTACAACCATATTTCGCCCCGGAACTACGGAAAAAATACGTAATTTTTATTAAATATTTCTCTCCATGTAGAAAAGTCGAAAACATTGAGGTATTTTTTTTAATTGCAGGAATTCTCAAAAATCCTAGTATTCAATTTTCTCTCATTCTGCCCGAGCTACACGCATGGCAAAATCGTATAGAAATTTTCTATACGGATTGCGTATAGAATTTATATAGGATTTTTGTATATGATATTCGGATATTTCTATACGGATATTTTTATACAAATTATTTTTATAGGATTTCTATCGGTTTAATCCTATACGACCTGATGCCACATGTATAGAAACATTTCGTATGGAGTTGCGACATTTCTCTACGTTTTTCTCTGGAGCGTTTAGACATCTTTCATATGAAAACAAAAATTTAGGTAAAAATTTATGTATAGGAATAATTCGTATAGAAACATCCGAATATCATATACGAAAATCCTATAGAATTTTTATACGCAATCCGTATAGGAAATTTCTATACGATTTTTTCATATGTGTAGGCCGGGCCACACAGCTAGAATCTGAGCAAAACTCATCAATAATTGAAGTTCATCTTTCTTTCTTTTTTCTCTTCCTATTATAATGTATCATAATAAAATTTGATAATCTCGATTAAAGTAGCCCTACCCTTACGATAAATTCAAAGATTATTGAAAACTGCGAAAAAATTGCAGAAAACTCGATTAGATTCAGAATTATAATTTTTTTCTCAATTTAATTATCGTTTTGGTTTTTCAAAGAAGAAATGTTTAAAAATCAGCATTTAACCCAATGTCTTATATGAAAATCAACATTTCCATTGTAATCAAAGATTAAAATCTGAATTTTTTTTCATTAGATGTGAAAAAATCAATAATTTTTTGACCCCTCATAAAAAATAATCCACCGTTTTGCAAACAAGTTTCATTATTTATTTATAAGAGGGAAATGTTTGAAAGAATATCAATATTTTGCGAAATTTAATTTAGATAATACTGACTGGGTATGAATTTTTTCAAATTTTTCCATGCAATTTAGTTGAAAAATTTAAAAACTGAAAATATCCAAAAGTACAGCGTAGCCCGGTGGAAGGGTAGAGCTACTTTAATTCCTAGAATCAAGTCATACTTTTTAATTCCTTGTAGGCTAATAAATTCATGTAACATATGTAGGTTGTCCTCAGGGGGCGATTGCTACCACAGGACATTGTCATAAAGCTCAATAAATAAATAAATAAAGAGAATGTATTCCGTTTAACTCGTTCTCAATATTTTTAACATAAATTCAGATGGCAATACCGAGGAATTAATTGATCCGTGCGAATGCTCAGGAACCGTGGGTCTGATACACACAAGCTGTCTAGAGAAATGGCTAACAACATCAAACAGCACCCAATGTGAAATATGCAAGTACGCGTTTCCGATAAAGAAGAAGAATAAACCATTAACGCAGGTTGGTAAATTGCGGACAAGTTCCCATAGCTGAGGTTTCAAGCATATCATTATCTTTGGGCTGTGCCAGTGAAACTCTGAGGATCGATTGTGATGTTGACCTTGGGTTTTAATGAGTCATGTGTTCGTGGACAGTGAAATTAGATGTTTAGCATGTGGTGGTATTGAATTATTGAAAATGGTTATAATCATTTTCTTGCGCGTGCTGACAGGTGAATTTTATTATCAAATGGAATCCACTGGGGAGAGGTAATTCATGAATAAATTGGTTTGTTTTCATTCGGGTGATTCTTCATGAATTAATATTTCGCGTTTAATTGATTCATTTTCATTAGCTATTTAACAACGGAATTTATCAATATTTTTTTGGTGTATCCGCTGGTTATGGTTTCTTATTTATATTTATTCGAGGGGGTGGGACACGAATGCGTTAATTTTTGCTTCAGAATGGAAGAATTGTATTCGCCAAATCTGAAATTACCAATTTTTCGTGTCAGAGTAACTAATTTTGCACTCAGGAGCTCGAAGATGCGATTTTGTATGTACGTGACCCATCGTTTTTCTACGATAAAATAATTGTTTAATGAATTCAATTGTGATTTAAAATATTCTTCCCAATGCAGAAATATATTGACTATTCTGTGCCAAAAACAATTTTCTTTCTTTTGTGCCATTTTCCATAGGCATTATCATCAACAATTTAATTGCTTGAATTCTCGTAACACTGGGAGTCATTTTGCTCTACGAATTATTTTCTGGGGAGAGGGTGAGTAATACTCGAGCGCTCGGAGCTCAAGGTATTTTATAAAAGAGGTATCTTATACAGAGACTCGGCTGTATCGACACACAAAGAGAACCGAAAAGTAGAATTTCAGCGATTGGTTTATTGTTCCAGTCAATTTGGCAATGGTGGTTATCGAAAAATGGCTACGGACCCCAGGGGATTGGTGGTGACCTAGTATGCCTGGTTGTCCTGACACCACTTTGCGTTGCTGCTACTTATCTCTGCGCAGTAGGTGCAGCAGCTTACACTCGTAACGGATTCTGGGAGGGCACCGGATTGGCTGTACTCTGCTTCATGCTCGTTGCCACTTACGCATTATGGTTGATTGTCACAGTAAGGTAGATAATCTTTATGTAAGATGAAAAATCAAGAGACAAAGTTAAACTTTATTCGCTCACGAATCAGTGAATCAAAAAATTAAGATGAAAACTAAGATGAAAAATCAAGAGACAAAGTTAACTTAAACTTTATTCGCTCATGAATCAGTGAATCAAAAAATTAAGATGAAAAGTAAGATGAAAAAGTAAAATTAAGATGAAAAGTAAAATGAATATTCAAGAGACAAAGTTGAACTTTATTCGCTCATGAATCAGTGAATCAAAAAATTAAGATGGAAAGTAAGATTAAACAGTAAAATTAAGATGAAAAGTAAGATGAAAAATCAAGAGACAAAGTTAAACTTTATTCGCTCACGAATCAGTGAATCAAAAAATTAAGATGAAAACTAAGATGAAAAATCAAGAGACAAAGTTAACTTAAACTTTATTCGCTCATGAATCAGTGAATCAAAAAATTAAGATGAAAAGTAAGATGAAAAAGTAAAATTAAGATGAAAAGTAAAATGAATATTCAAGAGACAAAGTTGAACTTTATTCGCTCATGAATCAGTGAATCAAAAAATTAAGATGGAAAGTAAGATTAAAAACTAAAATTAAGATGAAAAGTAAGATGAAAAATCAAGAGACAAAGTTAACTTAAACTTTTTTCGCTCATGAATCAGTGAATCAAAAAATTAAGATGAAAAGTAAGATGAAAAAGTAAAATTAAGATGAAAACTAAGATGAAAAAGTGAAATAAAAATGAAAAATAAGATGAAAATTCAAGAGACAAACTTAAACTTTATTCGTTCATGAATCAGTGAATCAAAGAATTCAATAAAAACAAATCAATACCTTTTTTTTCCACAGATTTCATTATAAATCCTGGCGAGACTGGTGTCATCGCCATCAGGATGTCAAACTGCTTGTCAAGCATCGGCCACTGCATGTGAATAATGAAATGAAAAATAATAAAACCCCGGTAAAATCGGAGAATAACGACAACACGAACAGACATGTCAACGCGATGGATCACTATCATAACACAGGAAGACTGAGTCCATGGTTCATCAGACTGATCGCTCGCTTTGGCGATCCCTTCCATGAATTCCACCAAACAACGTGGGTCTGATCATCGAGGAAAGAGTAGCACTCATCTCGAGTCAATTTTACCTCGCGCATATGCCAAAATACTGTTCATTTCTCAGTTCCTTTTTAAATTAACATTGAAAATATGTGTTTTAGAACGAATTGTTGTGGTTTTAATGATAAGTCCAGCTCAAATAATTTAATATTATTTTTTCTAGATAAATAAGTGAAAATTAACAGAAGATTTGTCAAATGGAGAACAGATGTTTTCGCTTCCTACTGTTTTTGTCTGCTTGCACGGATAATTATGAAAGGAAATTAGTAAATGTTGAATAATTTTTAAATGCGTGACCAACATCCGCCTTTTCCTAATGTCGCAGTACCCCAACAATAAGACATTAAATATTTCCGAAATTTCGAAACTGGAATATATATAAATTTAATAGCCTGTTTAAATGCTATTATTTCATAGAGACCTCGCTCCCGTTTTTATAAATATGGGTTTCAGTGGAATGTGTTGTAGACTCAAATGTTTTATTTATCATATGATGACTTTCTGATCAATCCTTAGGCCTGATCGAGGGGCTAGCCACTCAGGAAACCACTGGAAATCAAGTGATTTAGATTTTCAATACACGGAGAGAAATGTTCAGTAAAAATGACGGAACTCACGATTCACTCACCGATTACGAAATCGACTCAGAAAAAATTTAAGTGACGGTATCGTAATTTTTCACAGGGGATTTAGATAAAAATTACGGAACGCTCCGGAAAAATTCCGTGACAGTTCCGTAAAATTTCCTACAACTACATTTCGCTCCGAAATTACGGAAAAGATACGTAATTTTTACTGAATATTTCTCTCCGTGTAGTGATTTCTAACGATTTCAGGAAATAATTGGAAATCAATAGAAATCATGAAGAAATCAAGTGATTTCCGAAATCATTAGAAATCATCGATAAGTGTAAAATCGAAATTGATTTTGCAGTTTCAACTCTACAATTTTTATTATGGTATCGGTGCATGCGAAATCACCCAAAGCCGAAATGCGACGCTTTTGAAGTTTTTGACATCCTTACGTATTGTAACATCATGTAGAAAACTGCCATTATCGACAGGTGCCCCACTCTGGTCTCGAAATCATGATTTCTCCAGTGACTTCTTGAAATCAAGAAATCATGTTGTCTCAATGTTAATTGAGAAATCACAAAAATTATTCGAGAAATCACAGAAATCAACAGGAAATCACAGGAAGTCATTTGATTCTGGAAATCACTGAGTCACTCGATTGAGGAGTGACCATCCCCTCGGGCCTGATCTGAGCCAGTCTGGACTCATATAGAAACATTTCGTATGGAGTTGCGACATTCCTCTACGTTTTTCTCTGGAGCGTCCTGACATCTTTCGTATGAAAACAAAAATTTATGTAAAAATTTATGGATAGAAATAATTCGTATAGAAAATTTCTATACGATTTTTTCATACGTGCCTGCCTTCAACCCTCCAATAAACCAGTGGATATTTTCAAAATAGATAAAACAAGAGAGAGAATAATGGGGGATGATGCAACCCTTGTAATTGTAAGAGCGAAAACCCCAGAATAACCACTTGGCTCCCCGTGTAATATTATCGATAGTTGAGTTAGTCTCCTCTGCCCCTTGGAATAACGTATAGACCTGAGAGTATACCCACCTGTTCGCTGGTTCTGTCTTCAATTATGTAATAGCTAGAGGTCTCATTTGGGATGGTATACATTTCACGAGCTGCGAGTTGACTTATCAAACGAAGACAATGAAAATAAACTAACTGGAATGGAGGGTACTAAGACAGTAGTCCAAGTTCGATCGAATTATTCAACTTTCGCCTCGACATGGAAACACAAACAAACGCAGCGACGCAGTTTATGCTGTTTGTTGAGGGGTGTGGGTTTAACGACCTCAAGACATTTCGGTCAGTGCCATAAAAATAGAAGAAGAAAAAGAGGAGAGGGATGTGATGCGGAGGGTGATAATTGATTCCTTTCTACCTCTCTAGGAAAGACAGTAGTCTTCGTACGAGATACTACGTTGGAAGAAAAACAACGGAGTTCTCAAACAAGTATTATTTGTGCCAAAAAAGGTGTTCTTTTTTAATTATTAAAAAAAAAAATTTTGATAAAAAAAATCTTTTTTTTTATAAAAAAAAATCTTTTTTTTGATAAAAAAAAAATCTTCAAAAAACGTTTTTTTTTTAATTATCAAAAAAAATTTGTTTTGTGCCAAACATGCGAAGATTGCGGAGAAGTGGAAAATTTTTGTCGCAAAAATAGATTGAGTAGTTCTTGAAAAATTGTATTTACTGTGCACGCAAGAAATTGCATTTCTAGCACTAGGTCTTCGTTATTCGATACTCCCATAGGGGAGGCGGGGCCTGTACAGCACCTCAGAATTTTCAGAGCCTTGCAATTTGATTTTTCACTGTGATAATAGCATTATCATCACATAAAATTATGATCAATCGCTGTGTAATTTTTTTTCACATCATTTGACATCTACTTTTTTCATCTTTTAATAAATAATTTGAAAATGTTTTCTCCAATTTGATATTTCAAGTGTGCCATTTTAACTGCGACATTGAACCTAAAATTTTTCATCTCCGACATTTCAACAAAAATTTTTCTGCTTCAATGATCGTTTATTTGTTCATTATATTTGTTATGATTGATGTTATTAATGTGGAACGATGATGTTTAATCCTTAAGTTAAATAATAATGAGCAATCTTGTAACTTAGGGACAAAATATTTCTCGATGAAGTTTTCTCTACCAGAATTATTTTTATCCTGAAAAGGCATCGTTTCGTGAAGTGCAATGATTTCGTTGCGTAGAAAAAAAATCCTTCACCTAATTCTCATAGGACGACTCTAATTGCTCAATTAACTGAGTATAACTTTGGAAAATTCCAAACATGAAATGAAACGATTATTCATGAACTTCAATGTGGAGACATTCGCGGAAAACTTTGGCGCAAGAAATTCTCACTAATTCTATACCCACATGACCCGAATGAATCTGGTGCAAGGATGATGAAAGAAGTCACTGGAACTTTACAATCGAATCGATGGTAGTAAAGTGGTAGACAGTTTATAGAGCATTTTAAACGTAAATTAGGTCTATACCAAGTATTTTCACTTCTGCAACAATGTTGTAGGTAGTGTAACTTACATTATTGAATACTAATATTGTTGAATACCTTTTTGCCAGGAATTATCTCAAAAATTGTTTCGAGGTGATCAAAAGGTGAAATGTGAACATCATTCCACCTTTGCTACAAAATAGAAAACAAAATGATCTGACATTTCTCAATTTTTTATTAGAAAAATCTTGTTTGTTCATGAACATTACACTCTCTACAATTTTCGCTGATTGAAATTGTTTAAATTTTTTTTAAATCTCACTAGCGAACGGGCGCTTTGCGCCCGTCTCTAGATTATGTTATATTATACTAATTTATTTGTTTTATTTCCAAAATTTCTTTGCGGTTAGATTAAATTGAATTTATTGGATTCTATTCCCATTGTAGTATACAAATTATGGGAACAGTTTTTCTCATTTTCAAATGAAGAGATATTTATGATAGATAATAAGGAGAGTATTGATACTTTTTCTTGGGATGATGATCGATTCGCAAGAAAAGAAAAATTTCGATTTTTCAATGTCTCCAGAAAGTTTTAAAATTGATATATTTTCTCAAATAATGAAAGAATACCCATCAATTCAATTTCTATCTTCACATTTTTATAGAATCCATAAAAAAAGTAGCAAAGAATAAAAATCGGAGATGAAAAATTTTATCGGATTAATATAATGTAATTATTATTTTGTTTATAAACGTATTCCACAATTTTTCAATCTATCGTAATTTNATGGGAACAGTTTTTCTCATTTTCAAATGAAGAGATATTTATGATGAATAATAAGGAGAGTATTGATACTTTTTGTCGGGATGATGATCGATTCGCAAGAAAATAAAAATTTCGATTTTTCAATGTCTCCAGAAAGTTTTAAAATTGATATATTTTTTCAAATAATGAAAGAATACCCATCAATTCAATTTCTATCTTCACATTTTGATAGAATACTTAAAAAAAATAGCAAAGAATAAAAATCGGAGATGAAAAATTTTATCGGATTAATATAATGTAATTATTATTTTGTTTATAAACGTATTCCACAATTTTTCAATCTATCGTAATTTTTTTTGCATTTTTGTATTTGATAATTCATATTGAATAACATCTGCATTAAAAGTTGAATTATATGAGTATTTTTTTATAGCAAAAAATAGGATTGGTTGAATTTGTTGCGGATTGAGCGTCTTGAAGTCCGGGCGATCTATTTCAATAATTTCCTCATGAAAATCAAGCGAAAATAATTGTCTTCGTTTGGTCATTCCACCACAAACAAATCCCATGTACCACACAATATAGTGACAAACCACATGCACGAATACGTGAAAAATGGAGAGTATTGATACTTTTTGTTGGGATGATGATCGATTCGCAAGAAAATAAAAATTTCGATTTTTCAATGTCTCCAGAAAGTTTTAAAATTGATATATTTTCTCAAATAATGAAAGAATACCCATCAATTCAATTTCTATCTTCACATTTTTATAGAATCCATAAAAAAAGTAGCAAAGAATAAAAATCGGAGATGAAAAATTTTATCGGATTAATATAATGTAATTATTATTTTGTTTATAAACGTATTCCACAATTTTTCAATCTATCGTAATTTTTTTTGCATTTTTGTATTTGATAATTCATATTGAATAACATCTGCATTAAAAGTTGAATTTTATGAGTATTTTTTTATAGCAAAAAATAGGATTGATTGAATTTGTTGCGGATTGAGCGTCTTGAAGTCCGGGCGATCTATTTCAATAATTTCCTCATGAAAATCAAGCGAAAATAATTGTCTTCGTTTGGTCATTCCACCACAAACAAATCCCATGTACCACACAATATAGTGACAAACCACATGCACGAATACGTGAAAAATGGAGAGTATTGATACTTTTTGTTGGGATGATGATCGATTCGCAAGAAAATAAAAATTTCGATTTTTCAATGTCTCCAGAAAGTTTTAAAATTGATATATTTTCTCAAATAATGAAAGAATACCCATCAATTCAATTTCTATCTTCACATTTTTATAGAATCCATAAAAAAAGTAGCAAAGAATAAAAATCGGAGATGAAAAATTTTATCGGATTAATATAATGTAATTATTATTTTGTTTATAAACGTATTCCACAATTTTTCAATCTATCGTAATTTTTTTTGCATTTTTGTATTTGATAATTCATATTGAATAACATCTGCATTAAAAGTTGAATTTTATGAGTATTTTTTTATAGCAAAAAATAGGATTGATTGAATTTGTTGCGGATTGAGCGTCTTGAAGTCCGGGCGATCTATTTCAATAATTTCCTCATGAAAATCAAGCGAAAATAATTGTCTTCGTTTGGTCATTCCACCACAAACAAATCCCATGTACCACACAATATAGTGACAAACCACATGCACGAATACGTGGAAAATGGGTTAAAGCGCAAGTCTCGTAACTATGACTACCACATGTACCTGGTGGATTACCACCTGAAAGTTCGGCCCATTCTAGTTTCAGCCGTTACATAGTGAGCCCCTTGGAGCGCATTAACTCGTCTCTATCCCAATAAAATTTTCAACAATCACAAATCGCCATCAGGACTAGCTGCAACAACAAGTGAGGATTTTTCACAGCATCATTCCCTTCATCATTTTTGTGACATTGAAAACAACACGTGTTATTTTTTGGATAAACGTGATGGATCGACGGAGTGGGGCAAAATGGAATTTTTTAATTCGCTCAACCACTTCTAAACGAACAATACAAATAGAAAAATCAACTTCCCATTTCAAGGAATGAGAAAGTCTTTTGAATTCGCACGATTTATGATTTTTTTTTCAACCATTATTTGTTTTTTTTAATGAAAGTTGTCAGTCATTATTTGGAAATTAATGTTCTGGATACTTTCTACGACGAATGGATCCACAATTTTAATGTTTTTTGTTTTAGAGATAATCCAAGAAGTCAAGGCGTGGAAGTTACAACGAGTAGTGACAGATAAACATCTCCAGCGTTTTTCAAGTGCAAAAGTGAAGGATCTGATAATTCCATACTATTGAGAGTGATGTGACAGTCTGCCCTTCATTGGGTCAAGCTCAAGTTTACGCATGTTTGTGGTAGTGCTGCTGACTATTGTGCTGAAGATAATACTGAAAAAATTGAAGCGCTACGAGGAAATTGAAAATATTCGCCGACGCGAGTCGCCGGTGTTCAATAGTTTCACGACGAGGATCAAATTTATCGGACAGTGAGGGACTTTCGAGGGACTGGATACATTCGCGTGATCGACGATAAGATATTGGCGCGAGCGAAAGTGAAATTTGAGTTTTTCTTCTTTGTTTTTGTTTTGGTGGAATTTTTCACTCGTGTGATAATTGGTGGGAGGTGTCGCGTGGGGTATTAATCATGTGAGTAAATGGCCGTGATAATTGACGGCCACTGTTGGAGAAACCTACTATGGGCATCTGCCTTGACACTGGTGAGTTTATTGATCACAGTCGACCCTTCGCTTAAGATACCGATCCGTCATTTTATTGCCTCCCGAAAATTTGACTCTGTGTAGTATTTATAAGATACTCATTGAGATATCTGTTCCGGAATTTTTGACGTGCCGCCCCCTCAAAGGACTCGAAATAAATGGTAACAAGTGGAAAATTGCTCTTGTGTTGCACATAATAGTTATTTTCGCTAATAAATTACACGGAGAGAAATGTTCAGTAAAAATTACGGAACTCTCACTTCACTCACCGATTACGGAATCGACTCAGAAAATTTAAGTGACGGTATCGTAATTTTTCACAAGAGATCCAGATAAAAATTACGGAATGCTCCGGAAAAATTCCGTGACAGTTCCGTAAAATTTCCTACAACCACATTTCGCTCCGGAATTACGGAAAAAATACGTAATTTTTATTGAATATTTCTCTCCGTGTAGAAATAGGCTTCCGAATGGTTATTTTGCGCAGTATTTCCTTCTATTATATGTGTAATTCATTGTTTATTTCATTTTATTGAATTGAATACAATTTCTTTAGTTGAATGTTCTCATCATCATTATTTTTATTCCCCCTTTTTTCTATACAACCGATGGCTTTTTTTACGGTTCTATCACTTCGATAAAATGTTAATAGAATAATTTTATTTATCCATACTCGAATGAATTTGAAACATCACATTTGAAGAAATTATGAGAAAGCTTAGTTTCAGGGAAATTCATGAAAAATTCGAAATTTTTACCAATCATCATAAAAATCAAATCAACCAATGTAGCTATCGTAATCATATTTTAACTTCGACCTAATGACATTACAACAAACATTTGAAGCATGATATTCGGAGATATCCCCGGAACTCTGATTTTCAAAAAAAAAAACAATATTTTTGCAAAGTTTCAAATAAATCAAAGTAACGATTATTGCTGTCGCCTTCACCTTCGAACTCGGTCGAAAGGACCTCCATCCCAATTTTTTATTTAGGATGCCCCACCACTCAATCAATTCAGAATATTTTTTTTAGTTATCGTGGGACAACCGATGTCCAAAAAAATTTGAAAATTAAAAACACTAATCGATGAATTGAATTTCAATTCATGGCGAATTAAAACGTCGTGCTCACGTGCGGGTAAGGCTCCTTTATCTTACCTCCTCTAGTTAGAAACCTATTCTTCGTCTCCTAATGGGCGCAAAGTCAGATTGAAAGTTAACTCTGCGCCCGCCAGGCGATTTTTTTTCTGTATCGTGAGAATTTTACATTCAATGAGACAACAGAAATTCAGTTACTCAATTGTGTGTGTCACACCTATCAATCACCAAAAATACTCAACAATTTTTCATAAAAACACTTATAAATATTCCCTATGACTCCGTCACATGAAGTCACAATTCCATCGAGAACGGCACGTGACTCAATCTCTCGAAAATTCCGGGGATTCAGCACTGAATAATGTATGTTTACCCTACAGCACATGTAAAGAGGGTGTACGGTCACGCGAGTCGTTTGTCAAACCAACTCGCAGCCGGATGTTTCAACTGGTTGTTCCTTTCAACTATATCTAATTTTCAAAACGGTCATTTACGTGTTCGACAGGAATCTAAACCTTTCTGACGATGATCGTAAAAACATGAACATAATAAAAATACATAAATACATAAGATTATTTATCCCTTAAATATTTCCTTCTCACGACATTAACATAAAAAAAGAGCTCGAGAATATTTAAAAAATCACAATGGAATATTTTCAATCAGCAATTGCAAAATATTAATAATAATAATAATAATAATAATAATAATAATAATAATAATAATAATGTCCTCTCCCATTCTCCCTCCATCAAATATTACTAACAAGGCCGTAGATTGAGACAAATCCAGTTTTTTATTCACCCTTCATTGCGACCCTGTCACACGCAAAATCGTTCACTGACCTCAGTTGTCCCATCATTGCAAACAAAGTTAAATAGAGTGGAGGGGGAATAAACGTCGAGTAGAATGCACGAATGAGAGAGACAAAAAATTGTCGATAAACCGGTGAATTATTAAATCGTCGAAAGAACAAAAACAAATATTTTTGTTAAAAAAAAGGTCACAAGAAAAAGTTTTGTTTTGTTTTTAGAGTAGAGTAAAATTTATTGAAAGATACGGCGAAATGAAGGAGAAAGTCAGGAATTTCGAAGAAATAGTTGTAGTGCGCAGCAGATTTCATGATAGAAAAGTATGTTGATTGTTTTTTTGGAGATTTGATTATTTTTTTCGCAATGATCATTGTGAGAAAAATAGTTACTTTTGTGCTCTGCACGGAGAGAAATATTCAATAAAAATTACGTATCTTTTCCGTAATGCCGGAGCGAAATGTGGTTGTAGGAAATTTTACAAAACTGTCACGGAATTTTTCCGGAGCGTTCCGTAATTTTTATCTGAATCTCTTGTGAAAAATTACGATACCGTCACTTAAATTTTCTGAGTCGATTGTGTAATCGGTGAGTGAAGTGAGAATTCCGTAATTTTTGCTGAACATTTCTCTCCGCGTGCGAAAGGCCCTCGGTCCATGGCCAGCTGCAAGTTCCTATCAGAACTTGCAAGAAATTTACGTAAAAAAATAGTAAATAAAAGGCATGGAGTTTTTCCATTGGCAGAAAGAAGTTGAAAGGTCTTGGAAGAGCGAATGACAACTTTGGCCAATCAATTCGTAATGATTTTGGATCGCGTGTGTGTTCTGTCCCGTGCTCGATAATTTAATCTGACATCGTTGTTGGAATGAAGTTCAAGCGTTTCAGATGTTTACGAAAGCGCCCACGTCGGTGATCGTACATGACGGAGCGGTTTCAAATAGTTTCAGAGTTGAGGAATGGAAAATAAAAAACGTCATTCACTTTGTGACCTTGCTCCCCCAATTATTGGGAGATATTATTTTTGGTCGTGTATTTTTGTGAGAATTCAAAGAGAATTAGCGCAGAAGTTTGCAGTTGTTCTACCCGTAGATTATTTTTCAACTAAAAGATTTTTAAAAACTATAAACCTGAAACATTACCTGAATACTCTATGAGATTCGGAATTGTCATTTTTTTTATCATTCATCCATTGAAGTAGGAATTGACATTGGAAACAAGACTCATCAAGCCCTGAACGAACGCTCGGAAATTCTCAATCAGGGCTGGCGCCCACAAGACTGGGGTACACTGTTAGAAAAAAAAAAGAAATTTCATGCACAGTGACACTGAATGCGACTTAGGGGGAAAAAAAATCATGAAATTTCAGGTTTCACTGAAATTTCAGTAAAATTCCAGAAATTTAAGCAGCATAATGACGAGAATTCCTTAATTTATGTGAATTTCCAATCTAATATGAATATTCAGTGTCAAATTACATTGAATTTTCAGGGAAAATTTAAATTTTGTGATGTTTTCCCCCTAAATCGCATTCAGTGTCACCGGAATTTTCTGGTTTTCTATTCATGTTCAGGAAAAAATGAAACTGAAATTGACAGTTCTCTTTGATTTTTCCCCGAAATTCTGAATGTTCAATGACAAAATCCCTTGACATTCCAGTGGTAATTAAATTTGAAAAATTTTGATAAATTTAGAACGATTTTCTAGGGATTTGCAATGGAATTTCATACGAATTCTCGAAATTTTCGAGGAATTCTCATCAAGAAAATTTTATCGTCGACGTATAACCAAAGGGGCGTAAGTGGCGTGTATAAGCATAGCTTTACCACCCGTTTGGCTCTACGGCGACGTTATGAAGAATCCTTCATTAGCATTTTCCAACAAATTCTCAGTTAATTACGTATTTGATCGTGGTATCTCAATTATGCTTGGCCTCGCAGTCAGACTCATTGTGTCTGTCGAGTCAATTAACACCTCCCGATTTCACGGTGAACTTACATTTTAAAAGATCTATCCTCATTCATTAGCCGCATGTTACCAAAGCATAACAGAATTTTATCGAAATCGACATCATATTTTAGTCGCCGTAAGGCGGGTTGCATGTTTTCGAAGGTGGGAAGTAGATAAATGCGAATTGGGTCAGACGTCGATTCACCATGACCAGTAAATGAGACGAAAATGATAGTTGGCTCGGAAATGACTCCTGAAAGGAACTATAAAGTTAACTGTGTAGCGGCTTAAAAGCCGATTCTTATCGTCGACTAATTTCTCGCTTGCCCTTCTGGAAATTTATCGGGGTTCACTAACACTTCCGGATTGAAATTGAAACGGAGAGAAATTTTCTAGAAAAATTGTAGTACGAGTACTGGAACAAAACATAATCCATCGGCTGTAAAAAATTCTGGTGCAATGCTTCAAAATTTTTGAAGTGTGAAATTCCACATCTCAAAAACATTTTTTTTTAAACTATATTTTTTTTCTATGACCGACTGAGTTAGCTCTATATAAAATTTTGGATGAATTTATCCCACGAAAGGAGAGACGCAGAGGCCTGTTTGCAATGTCACCTTCAAAGTCTGATATATATATTTTTTTCATTCCATTTCACCGTATATCTCTCGGCTTTTACGGTTTTTCTTATTCCTTCATCCCGTTTTTTTATTTCCGCATATTTGCTTTTCTCAAAATGCTCTTTCCAGTTTTTCCAAACAATGTTTCTTTCCTGAGGTGTTCCCACGCGGTCACCCATCCATCTAGTGACCACGCTCAGCGCTGCTTATCTTCCCAAAGCTAAGTCTGCCCACCACCGCAGTGCGCTAGCCCCGTAGGGCCCTTCAAAGTCTGATATACTAATTAATAAACAAAATAAGTGAAAAGTACTACAATGTTTTGAAATAATTAGGGGGAACCAGGGAAAATAAGACCATTTGACCCTCCTGATGATCCTTGTCCCTGAATCGGTTGACCCTCGTGACCCTTGTAATTCCAGAAAAATTGACTCCACACCTCAAATTTTCACGTTCCGCCGCCCCTGGTAAAGTTGATAAATATTCCGAATTATGGTTTCAGATCATCATAATGAATCGCAGGTGTTCGAGGACGGGGATGCTCGAAGTATCGGAAGGTGGCGAGGTGAAGCAGGCTTACTGTCAACACCACCGGCTGGTGTATTTCCAATGCAGAACGTTGGCCCAGTCAAGTTTGAACCACCCAATGTTCCTGTCATTTTTGTCCTCGGTAATGCTCCGAAAATTTTCCACCATTAACGTCGACTCTTTATATAAGACAGAGAATTGGTTCGCTACATGCGCATGCAGAGGAGATTAAAATAGAAATGCGATATTTAATATGAGCACATCCGCGCAAAATCTGCAACTTAAAAAGCCGAATTGACTCATTTTTAATTGTGCAATTGAATATTCACTCCTTTGGGTAATAATTGCATGAACAATAGCGGTCATTTTCAGTACTTGTCCCACTGAGAAAAATAACCGCCGAACTACGGCGAAAGACAAACTCTAATTGGCGACACAATTCCTTTCATTTTATTGACAATTTTTGGTGAAAATTTCAGATTAGAAAACAATAGCTTTTTTAGTAATTAACGATGGAAAAAAACGTTTTCTCGTATAAAATCCGTCAAACTGAAGACGATGCTATGCATAACGTCTCCTTTCGAAGGGTTTTTCTTGGAACTCCGTAGGAATATTGCGGTCAATTTGGAATTTTTTTTTTTACAAAAACTAGCTATTTTCAAAAATCATAACTCCCTCAAATATCAACATTTTTCAATTTTTCTTTCTTCAAAATTTTTGACTAATCGCCATCTTTTCATAAAGTATTGAGCCAAAAATCCCCAGCGTCGACTTTATTCGCCTGGTAATTTGGCGGGGATCTGCTCTCTTACGATCACTTCGTATGTACCTGCCGTATGAAATAATAAATAGAAATAATACTAGAAATAATTCCTGGTATTTTACACAAAAAGTCGACTGCATTGCCCATTGAGTCCACTTTTCTAATTCCCCATATTTCTTTATTTTTCACGTTCTAGGCGGCCCTGGCAGCGGTAAGGTGACACATTGTGACAATCTAATGCAAGAGGAAAATGGGATGACGCACATAAATATGACAGACCTCCTGCAGCAATACGCCCTCGGCAATGGTAGGTACCACCACGCATCTATGAAAAAATCCGTAGCAAATTTCCCCGAGTGGAAATTCAAATTAGGATAGAATAAGAGACTGACCAGTAAAAACTGATTTTGATCATTTTTGGATCAGAAATGTAACGCTCCTTTGGGTCCATGCCTGGTCAAAATTCTAGGATTCGATATTCCTGAACAGTACCGGATCCGATACGCATCTAGTCGAGATTTGACTGATCAGAATAGGATCACAATTCACTCCGCCACAATGAATACAAGTACTCCATTCAGAATCTCATCAGATCCTGATCCGAAAGTCTAATCAATAAATTCTGACCAGTATTGAACCTGAAACTAATGTAGATCCAAGCTAACTGAGTGAAATTTCCACTCGGTCCCTGGCTCTCTGTCAAATTCAACTTGAACTTCCGTTGAAAATGGCATTCGATCTTTTCTGATTTTTAGTGGAAGTTATATAATTTGTCCGTGCAATTCTCCAATAGATAATCAACAAGGGATTGTCAATAAGTCTTGATGAAAATGACGAAAATGAACGCAATAGAAACGAAAAAATGAAACAATGAGTGATACATTACGTAATATAGACGTTTGAATGACGCCGCTATGACACAGTTTATATACCCTAGACCTCTAGTGAAGCGTCAGGGTAAGTTGCGTTGTAATCGATATATCTCCGTGATCGATAGTCCGTAGCGCCCCTACTGTGTCTCATTGCCCGTCGTTATTGCGTAAACAAGTGTGGTATCCATCCCCCACCATAACAATTCTTCAACCCCTCTTTTTTCATACTTAACTCAACGCTATATGCAGTGGGATTGTTGCATACGCTCATGAAGGAAAACTTTCCAGAATGTTGCGCGATGATTCATTGCTCTCCACCGTTGGAATTTTTTCCAATTCCGTTGATCATGCAATGTCTCACCTGAATTAATTATGAGTACCCACTCTGTTTCAGACATGCAGGACTTTGGTCTCTTGAGTAGCAAAACAGTGGCTGAAGTCCTCATGCTGGAGATGAAGATGTCACCGGGGGCTAGGACATTTTTGGTCAGCGGCTATCCCAGGAATATGAGAGATGTCGTTGAATATTCGGAAAAGGTAAGTTATCGATTTGTCCGTTGGCTTAACTTGTGGAGTCATTTGGAAAGTCAACAGTTGTGGAAAGGCAAACCACAACTGCGTCGCACGTCAATTACAATGATCGACGATGATTACCAATACAGTAGACTCCCTTTATAAGCGTAAGCCTGGAGCTGCAGGGGAGGCCGATTCAGGGAATGCGTAATATTTCGGAATGGGGACTATCTGTATTTTGGAGTTTGGGATATTTTGTGGGTCTAGGAGAGTTTCTCGCAAAAGAATGCTCCTTTCCAACACTTGATTGATTCCTGTACCTTTTTTCACATAATTATTATTTTATCTCAAAAATTTTGCAGTTGTCCCCTTACGGGGGGTTTTCCCATTTCCTCTATTTTTTATAATTTATTTAAAAATCCTAGCCGCAGGCGTCGTCCCCTCGCGTCCATCGGACATTGTTTGATGCACCTCACGGAGAGAAATATTCAGTAAAAATTATGGAACAATTCACGTAATCCGCAATGGGGAATCGTTTTCCGGAAATTTTTATAGGAATGGAAGAGAAGAAATCTGAAACGTTCAGTGAATTTTCACGTTCATCACCGAACAAAGTACGAAATTGTCACGTAATTTTGTCCGAAGAAGTAAAATCTTATAGAAACTTGCCGACTTATTGTGCCTTCAAAATAAAAAATTCTTTTTAACGTTCAACAATTTTCATCACGCTGTGACGAAAAGTGAACTTTTCGGCACGCTCCGCGTGCCTAAAAGTCCAATTTCCGCCACATTGTGATGAAAAATATTGTTCGTAACTCGTGAAAAAATGTTTTTTAGCTCGTGGGATTATATCACGAGCTTTCGGCTCATGATATAAACCTCCCACTCGCCAAAAAACACTTTTTTGCACTCGTTACGAAATATACTATTTTATGAAGTTGGTGAATTATTTCTACGTTCCGTTCCGTAAAATTTCTCAATCGTTAGGGAAAAATTACGGAATGACTTGTTGTTCCTACAGCGGTAAGTCATCAGACGGGTGGTTAATTTTTACGGAACAAATCGTAGAATTTACGTGGCGATTCGTGCAATTTCAGTTCCAACTCACACTTGTTATTGAATTTTACTTCGCTCGCGGACTACGTTTCGAAACGTAATTTTTAGGTTTTTTTCTGGTAATTTTTATTGAATTTTTTTCTCCGTACTCGTTTTCAAACGGAGGTGTTTGAAAACAAAACATCTTTGATTGATTCAGACACTTCTTGACGTCTGAAAAATGTTGGTCACACGGTAAGAGGATCCCCGTCCAAATTTTTAAAATTTGATTATTTTTTACGTAAAACAATTTGCAATAATTCTAAATGTTAATAATTGTCAATGGAGTTCACCCGAGGTCATATGTAGCATAATCATCCCGTAACTCCACATAATTGTAATATTCTTCGGTAAAAGTATGTGTTTTCTCAGTGTACTGTACCCAAATCATAATTGCCAACGGAATCAGAACTACATATTTAATTTCATTACCCACGAGGGAAGTTCCGTATTTGCCACGGGTAAACTAATTATATTTGGCCGTGACTAGGTCATTTACCCCGAATAATCGACATTCTGATCGATCATGAGATAAAACTCCCAATGACTCATCAATTGAGTTCATACCCAATTTTCGGAGTGTCCGCTTCATTCTGCTTTCCAAATGCGTTCGAACAGCGCAAAAGCCGGGACATTTGTTTTCTCCTGCGGGGTAGGCACAAACTTCAGTTTTCATGCTGTGATACCCACGGTTCTTCCTTCCCCATTGCTATAAATAAATCTGAGCCAGAAATACCTCATCATCCAAAAAAAATTCACAATGAAATTCATCATGAATTTCATTAATGAGGTGATAGTGACCTTTATCTGGGACACATGCAGGAATTGAATTGAATTTTAAGATTTTTATTCGACATAACTGTTTGCAAAATGTGCATTTACAGTATTTATTTAGATTTTTAGTCGCAGCCTCAGCCCGTAGGCTTTTGAATGCATATTATAATCAAGTTTTTGGACTATCTCTAATTTGAGATTGTGTGGTTCAAGAGGAAACTACCCTGTTAAATTAACCCTATGAATTACTACTGAAATTTCAAGGAATTTCGTCATTGAAAATTCAGAAATTCGTGGAGAAATGAAAGAAAACTGTACATTTTAGTTCCATTTTTCCCTAAAAATGAATTGAAAACTACAAAATTCCGGAAAATATATTCTTGAATTATCAGGACAGTGACACTGAATGCGATTTCGGGGGAGAAAAATCCTGAAATTTCCGATTTCACTGAAAATTCAATGTAATTTGGCACTGAAGCGCCTGCGGGCCAAACGAGCAATAAACAATTAATTTTTTGCGCTAATTATTCATTTTTAGAGAGATATAATCGATCTTCGATGTATGAGAGATCTCATTCCAATAGCCCGCGACTTTTAAAACTCATAGTAGTCTCTTCTTAAAATCTTCTTAAAATACCATGGGACATATGCAGGAAACTGTGACACGTGCCGCATGACTCAATAACTATTGACGTACATTCATTCTTCTCTGCCTCATGGTCATCCACACGTCAACTGTATTTTTATTACTTACTATATCTTTGCCACGAGTTTCGCTTTCTTGCGGCGGGGGGTTGAGGGTTGAGAATGTGCGCGTGGAACTGACAAAGAATCAACGAAAACCGTTGACCCGGCCTACTGACCCGCTCCGATTACCTGAACGAGTCAATGTTTCACAATTCGGTCAACACCCCTTTTATATGAATAATTGAAGACGGTTTGTTTCGATTAATTTCCTCTGCACGGAGAGAAATATTCAAGAAAAATTACGGAACATTTCACGTAATCCGCAAGCGAGAATCGTTTTCAGTGAATTTCTATAGGAATATAAGAGAATAAATCTGAAACGGTCAGTAAATTTTCGGGTCTCTCACCGAAAAAATACGAAAAATTCACGTTATTTTTCTGGAAGTTGTAAAATCTAACAGAAACTTCAAGACTTATTATGCCTCAGAACATGAAAATTCTTGGATGTTTAAGAATTTTTACGAAAAGTTCCGGAAAAATTACGGAACGTGTTGTTAAAATCTCCCCCTCACGGTGACTCATGGCTAGCCGTGAGGCGTCGGACGGATGAGTAATTTTTACGGAACAGATCGTAGAATTTACGTGACGATTGACACTTTTTATTGAATTTTACTTCGCTCCCAGATTACGTTTCGAAACGTAATTTTTACGTCTTTTTTCTGGTAATTTTTATTGAATATTTCTCTCCGTGTGCTCATTATCGTTGTTTGATTCAAAGAATATATTAAATTGGTCTATATTATGTATATTTTTCATATATTTTCCCATGGGATTTAGCATCTGGTCGCCAAGATGAGCCGAAAACACTTCCGTCGCTGTTACCAAAACCGAAATTTTTTTAAATTTTCTTCGTCGTATACGACGGATTTTGACGCAACAAAAACTCCATGAGACATTTTCGACAAAATATGATGCTTACTTCGAACGATTGCTTTTGAAATGGCCAAACCTTTTATGTGTTTTGTCACTCGTTTATGGCGATCGATTTTAAGAGAAGAGCAAATACTTCCAATAGGTTCAAGCAGTCGAAGGTCGAATTTCATGGGTTATCCGTAGTGAATTCTGGTGCTGACGCGATTCGTTCATTTTCATTCATTGAAAATTAACCGGTGCAGCCCACTCTTTATATAAGATACCTCAAGGTGATTCAAGGCATCAGGGATGGGCGATTTTCATCGATTAATCGCTTCAGCCACATTTTTCACGGATTCTATCGATTATTATTCAAAATTATTATTCAAAATGATCGGGTATTTCCCGATAGCTTCGTTGCAAACAAACGAGAGTGTCAAGCTTTGTACGCGGAGAGAAATGTTCAGTAAAAATTACGGAACTCTCACTTCACTCACCGATTACGGAATCGACTCAGAAAATTTAAGTCACGGTATCGTAATTTTTTACAAGAGATTCAGTTAAAAATACGAAACGCTCCGGAAAAATTCCGTGACAGTTCCGTAAAATTTCCTACAACCACATTTCACTCCGGAATTACGGAAAAGATACGTAATTTTTATTGAATATTTCTCTCCGTGTAGGTTTAAAAATCCCGAGCGCCAAGCGCAAGGAAATTTCCTACAAAACTTGACACGATCGTTTGTTTGCAGGGAAGATTGAGGGAAATACCGATGCATTTTGAAGCTCGAGGGGTATTTGGAGGAGTATTTCCTCCATCGGAATTTCGGTCACTAGAGGGCAGCATTTGATGTCAATGTGGTACAACCTACACTTTCGTATTTCAATTATTTTGTTTATTCTCTTAGCAACGTGCCGTGGTTTCACCAAATTTTACCGATATAAAACCGTGTAGGTTGTACCACGTGACATCAAATGCGGCCCTCCTATTGGCCGAGATTCCGATGAGGGAACTACTCCTTGAAAAATCGAAAGACTTTTTTGATAGCGATTAAGATTCCCCACAATTTTTAATGGGGGGAAATCCTCTTCAGAGTTTTTCACGCTAATCTAATTCAATTATACAAATTAATGATGTTCACGTAAACTTGTTCTTTTAGATTCAAATAATCAATGGCGTTATCCTGGTATCCTGGAGACAAGAAGTCTTAGAACGACAGATTGACTATGGAGCCCAACTAGGTCACGTGATCCTGAGTCTCGCGCGAATGGAACTCCGAAATTTTTATCGAAATGTCATGCCTGTTGCTGAGTATTTCGATCGGAGTGGTATTCTCCTGGAGGTGAGTGAATTCCATCATTTTTTCCCGAATGCATCGAATCGTAATTTCCCTCCGAACTTTCGAACAAATAATTGTGATTCGATGTAGAGAACCACTGTGCCCATTGAGTCAGTGGAATCCCTGCATTATCGGCCGGCTGTGCGACTGGGGTTTTCCATGGTTTCCCTTGCAGTTCTAGCCCGAATGGGGTACAGTTAAGAGTAAGACGGCCCATGAAGAGAGAAGTGGGAGAGGCAAGGCAGACGAATGGGGAGCCTATAAAATCGTAATGGTAGTAGGAAAGAAATATGAATAAAAAAAAATATGATTCGAGTGTGTAGAACATTAGCTCCGAACTTTTCCTTCTGCAAATACACGAGTCCCTAATCGATCACAATTAGAGTCAACTTATAGCCGAATAAAACGCTCTTGTTATTACGGACATGATAAGTAAGACCTACTTTAAAACTTTCAGTATGACTAGATTATTCATACTAATAAATTCATGACTGCTCCACATTATCGTTTACCTTCAAAACATTTCCATCAATTATTCACCTGATGAATTACCCATTTACTCATCACATGGTTGATAGTAACGTTCCACCCACATAAACGATGAATGACTAGCCCTTTTATTCGCCCGTTGCAGGTCAATGGAGAACGAAATCCTAGTGAAGTCTATGTTGACTTTCGAGAAGCGGTTGTGAGAATTTTGGGATTGTCGGAGAATGGTGCCTTTGATAGATCATTACCGCAGTCGCTGGAAACTGAAGTGAGTTGGATTTCCTTTGTAGGGCTGCCTACGAGACTCAAACGAGACTTCACTTTGAAGGGATCGTCTCGGTTTTGGTGAACACAGCAACTTTTGCTCTCGTCGCAGTCTCAAAAGAGGCGGTATCGGTTCTTCTCGCGATGACTCACAGTCAATTCAGCTCGTGTCAGTCTCAAGTTTCTCGTGCTTCTTCAATGCAAAGTCTCGGCTTTAGTCTCGGTCGTCTCGTCTCGGTCTTTTACCCATTAAAACGGGAAAAACGTGAAACCGAGACGAGATAAATTGACTGTGAGTCATCTCGAGAAGAGCCTCTACGGTCTCCTTTGCGACTATGATGATACCGAAAGTTTCTGTAATCACCAAAGTAAAGTCTCGTTTGAGTCTCATAGGCAGCCCTATTCATTTAGAAGATGGAAGTAGAGATGGACGATGTTGAAATTGAATCAGTTTTCTTGAAATCAATTAAAATGAAATGGATTAAATTCTTATAAATTAGTTATGAATTCTTTTTTTTCAATTCTTATTTTACTTATCCGAAAAATATCAAGGGATGTTAGAAAAAATGAAAGCAACATTTATCTAATTATCATTTGGCGACGTTTCGCTAATCATTTTAGAGAATAAAAGACTGAATGGATGAATCGATGAAAATCGCAAATTCTTAAATGGACGTGATAAGACTGTCGCGGTGTTTTTAAGACTGTCTTTTTTGCGTCAGGTGGAGGTGGTGCAGCCGGACGTGACGTCCAATCCTCAATCTGCCACTCAGATAACTTCACCACCCCTTCCGATCCGCCCGATTCCCGCCAAAACCGCCAACAAGCCAAGAAAAGGTCTGCCGAGCTTCATCTGGGTGATAGGTACGTCCAATCGAATGACAATGATACTTTCACCTACTCCTCAATAAATCGGAAAAATTTGTCGTGAAGTAATGGAAGAACTTGTGCTTTTGTCTGGCTTAAAAAATTGAAGATCATTTTGATGATAAATACCGACGCCGGTGGCCGAGTGGGCTAGACGCACTCGGCAAGTCTAGTGTGCGAAAGGTTGTGAGTTCGATTCCTCGTGGAACCGAATTTTTCAACGGAAGGCTCCGGCGAGCGGGAGGCTGCTAATAGAGTAACCGCCGGTACCGGCATGGGTTTCCTGTGGTGTCCCATGCTACTCCTGTGTTCTATTCGCGATCGCAGCGTAGATGTGGGAGCCATCAAGTGGTCTCTAAACTAACTACTCGTGGGCCAACCAATGAGATCAAGAACTCAGTGATCTAGTCATTTCATTGGTCGGCCCCGAAGAGTAGTTACTTTAGAGTCCACTTGGTGGCTCTCACATCTACATTGCGATCGCGAATAGGAGTGCGAATGCGGTAGAGTGCAGAATCCACAGCCGCATGCATCGAAATGAGACTTGAAAAGAGGACTCAAAAGGCTGTTAAAAAAAATTTGATGATAATTCTTCAAGGTGGACCGGGGAGCAACAAATCCCACCTCTGCACACAAGCTATCCGTAACATGCCCAACTGGGTGCACGTTGACATCGGTGGTTTATTGAGGACCATGGCAACATCGAATCCCGTGATAAACGATGCAATCGTCGATGGGGAAATGGTCTCCCAGGATATCATCATGCAGCTGGTAGAGCAGCAAGTACTACTCAATCGGGATAATGATGGCATTGTAATCGATGGCTTCCCCAGGGATTTGTCGCAAATGCAGGAGTTTGAAAGCAAGGTTCGTCTCATAGTTTCGATGCACTTTGCAATATCTATGATAACGTGATCATTGAAGTAGTTATTTGATCCCTATCTTAAAAGCCGCTTTCTTGAGCTCATGGCGCTCAAAGAAATCATGTGAAGATACTAGAAAAGATGAGAACAAGGGGCTAATCACTCCCGAAATCATAGCGTCAGACTGTGATGAAATCAATCCGAAATCGTGTTAAAGTCATGTGAAATCATGTGGAATATTCCATGTATCTTCCTCGTAATATAACGTTTGGAAATTAATTTTGAATTGTGGATTATTGGCGAAAAGAGGTAAAATGGGCCGTTTTTGATTCACTTGTAAACAACCCTTCAAAGCTTGCTCAACAAGCTTATGAAATAATAAAAAATTTAATACTTAAAATAGCCCGTTCGGCTCTCATTGCCTCTGAAATCACTGATTTCGAATCTATGAAATGCTTCGAAATCAATTGCAGTCACGAAATTATGTCGTGATCTCCTTGAAGTCATTTATTTCATTTCCTCCCGAAATCACTGAAATCAACACTGAAATCCCGTGAAGTCAACTCAATCGGGAGTTGAGTAGTCCCTCAGATGAGAAGCACACAGATGTAATGGAGTTTTATCACTCTAGTTCGGACAAGAGCCACCACTGATTCTACTAGACTGCTCGAAACTTCAATTAGGCCGTGGAAAACTTGACGACAGCGTCCCAGCATTTCGGAAAAGATTGGAAATATTCAGGGAAGTTACGCTGCCGATGTTGAAGACATTGGATAATGACAATCGTCTGAGAACGGTAGGCCTTCTTCATTATCTGTTTCCATTGATGTATTTGCCTATATTTCCAACCCTCGATGGACAAGTAAATTGATTGATTTGAGAATGAACAGTTGTCATTTTCCATTGAATATTGATGGATTTTCAGATCGACGGTGATACAGATGTACCCTCGGTCCAACAAGAATTTGCAGCAGCAATCTATGAACTGATGCGTCAAGCCCGACGCAAAGAAGACGCCAGCCATTCAGCGAATGATGATGATCACCCAAACTTAGGAGCCCCCGGTAACATCAACGGGGGCCTGCGAGATGTGCGCTTACCTAACGGAATGTCGAAGAATATCATCCCAAATGGCATCAGTTCGCTTAATCATTATCCGATCAACAGGAAAAAGAAAATCGAAGGTAGTATTACTTGACGAAATTGACGATCTCAATCTGCGAGGTGATGATGTTAGCCTCAGTCGATCATTGTTTCAATTTCCAATCTTTCATCATTATCAATTACAATTGAGGGGAATTACGAGGATTGACCCACCCCCACTACACGTACCTGTAGATGAAAAACAATAGAAAGCAGATATTTCATGTAAATTACCTCCTTCGCTGGTCCGTTATTCAACAAAATTTTTACGTCCAATCAATTGATATCGACAATTAATGACTTGATACATGTTCACATACTATTGTTATGGATCTCTATGGCTCCCTTTTAGAATGCATTCCATCAGGTACACGGAAAAAATATCTCCGAATCAAATATATAATATTCCGGAGTCCGGGATCTTATATTCTGGATTCCGGACTAAGGGTGACCGCCCATGGAACAGAATCCACACGGCGACGCAGCCGTTTCCCAATCAGAGTTCAGAATATAAAATTGGCGGGAAAATCTTCCGATCTAATTGGTTACACGGAAGCGTTTTCATGGGGATTCTGTTCCATGGGAATATTATCCCGGAATCCAAAATATAATATACCGTATTCAAGAATACACACATTTATTATTGTAGAATATTATACACCGCATTCGAGAGTATTTTTTTTTCTGTCATACCCTTATGATCAGTTTTATCCTATTTTACTAAAGATGAAAGAAACGTGAAGTTGTTTTATATCGAAATATCTCGAAACTGCCTGACCGCTAATCCTTAATTCTGATTGGTCAATATGTGACACGAAGTTATTCACAAAAAAAAACACGCGGCATTTTCAAATTCTTCAGTGGTAAATTTTTTTT